CATTTTGAAACTTTTTTTAAATTATAACTTCACAACCTATTTTTAAGACAGTTATTTTTTATTATTAAAATTTTTATACTTAAAAATTATTTTAAAAAACAGCAAAAAAAAAAAAATTCCAAATGAAGCCTTATACGATAAACTATCTATTACCACAAAAACTCTTATAATACAACCAATACAAAGTTTTATTATGAATTTAAATATAATATCACATTAGACTATAATAATTCCTTAAAAAATTGCCAGTTTCAAAAAGCGTAATATAAAGATAGAGCTAAATCTAAAAATTTTAAAATTATTGTTTTCTTATAAAAAAAAAACTGTAGTAAGTAACAGAACATTTTTCAGAAAGTACTCCGAACTAGCTTTATAAGGGGGTCGAAAAAAGCTGTTTATGAAGGATAAAAACAAAAGGTTTACAATTTCAGAGATTTTAACTAGCATTGCAAAAGAAAAAGAATAACTGGTTTAGAAACTAAATCCAATAAAAAAATGGTAGCTTGGAACAAGAAGCAAACTGAATTGAGACAAACAAACTCTCCTAAGTCACAAATAATTGGAAATGAACCCGTGCCTGCCAGCAATCTCATTTATTTGCTTCTATAAATTCTTTATATTCCTTCTTCATTTTCACGCCAGGGACAGTCCTGCATTCAGACAAAGTATCATAACGCATCAGTTAGTGGAGAGATTATTCTGTGCGGATATCGAACATAGCTTATCATCCAGAGGCGAACAGGTGCATCCACGTCATCCGGTACGAAGCTCGGTACCGAGCAGTACCGATTAGGGAGTGACGTGGTGCATTTTCATTGGGCTCTGGATGACGTTCGGCGCCCGCACAAAACGATTCATCCAGTTAGTGACATATTGAACAATTCAGCAACATTTTCATTTTTTATAATAATATGAGAGAGGGAGAAATTCAGGCATGAGAGGTGAGATGAGAAGTTTTGTTCTCCTGCTACAAAAGATAAAGGAAAAAAAAAAACTACCTTATCATTTCTTTATTTTTGAAAAACTGTACACAAGGTGTTCCCATAATTCCTGCTGCTTCAGCAATTTCTGGATCTTCCTCAATGTCAATCTCAACATAATGCACATCCTGATCAAATTCATCAATTACCTGCAACAATGAAGAAGTCATTAATGGTAAAAAGTATCACAAGGCTACAAAAATTGTAAAACAAAAGAATTAACTTCCAGATGCCATAATATTCAATATTCATATAACTCCAATTTAGACCTGCTAAACGGAAGAGGGTTGGGAGACACGGAACAGTTCAGACAGATGGGGAAATGTATTTTTTGCAAATAATAATAAAAGCAACCAAAATATGCATAAACGAAACATTTACGGTAAAACTGTACTTAATTAGCCATGCTATATTTTATTAGGCTGAGAACAGAAATAAGCGAATCACATTATATTAATTACTTAAACAAATTTATTTATCAAATATAAAAAGTTTATTTTAGAAATTAATTAAATTATGATTTTCTATATTTAAACAATAAAGTGGAGAGAACAAATTTTATTATTTAAAAATAAAAAATAAGAACTATTTAAATATACTTAATAACCTTATGAAATTATCTGTTATTGTAGGTGATTGAAGTCAAGAACAAGGACAAAAAGAGGAAAAGCTATTTAAATCAAAGGGAGTATTTATGTTCTAATTTACAGTAATGATATTTGTTTCTCCTATACATAATACATCAAATGTTGTAATTATTTAATTTTTTTACTATTAATGTTCTATGATTTTTCTTTATTGAAGACAATTGATCATGCTTAACTAGAAGCCTTGAATTTTTATATCATAGAGTGGTCACTCATCCGATATCATGATGCTTAATATATCTCAATACGAAATGATATGAAAATGTAAATAATATGATTTATACTTGCATGTATATGTTGAATCGATGGAGCATATCCCCTTATGGTATTGGCTGGGGCTACAATGTTCTCATACACGTAAATGGAAAAGGTTATGGAAACAGAACACCTTTATTAATACTATTTTAGATAATGGCTCATGCAACGGTTGCATTATTTATGAGAAATGATACAGATACAAATAAAAATATGACATATGCATAACATTGAAAGTCTTGAAATGAAAGGATTAAATAGAATTATTTTATGCATTGAATTGAGAATTTGGAAAGTTTGGATATTAGAGGTTCAAGGTTTGATATTTAAAATAGAAATTTTCACCATCTTGCACTTAAAGTAGATGGTAGGGGAATGGATGATAGACCCAATCAAGATCCCATGTTTCCGTTGTCCCGGACCATCGTGGTCCCTGGTCTACTTAGTCAGAGGATGTAGTCGATCCAGCCTGACACAAGGATCCTTGTCGGCAGCCATGGTTTGCTTCGTCCAAGGGGACCTTGTAGACCTGAGGTGGGTATTTGTCTAAGGGGACAAATTTGGATCCACCTTAGCTAACAAAGGGCTTTGTGCCCTATCGATCATATCTTATTGATTCATATCTCAAGGATTTGATGCCACTAAGGAGCGTATTGGCTCTGGCCATAACTGGTATTTCGTGGTACCATTTAACGGCAAAATCACTCGATTCAGAGGGCCCCGAGTCATAACCGTTTATCCTGCGGTGTCATTTGGCGGAAAAACCGCCGGTTAGAGGACATGTACCACGTCTTGCCTGTTTGAGAATGGATCATAGTAATATTTTCGACTATGCATTAGCTCTATATGAGCTGAAGTAAGTTTGAATTTGTCCACCCTGACAAACTATTATGGATGGTGGATGAATTTTGATTTAAGGGTATTTGAATGGATAATTATAATTTTAAATATTTTTGGAATTTTGAATTTTGGACATTGTGAAATTTGGATTTTGAATGGACTTTTGGGAGGCATTTGAAAGTATTTAAATCACCTCTGGTAGAGATCTACGTTCAACACGACCATCATCGGAGTATTTGAGGTCATTTCCCTTTATTGATTGAAAATTGTCAACTCTGTCGAGTTATCGACAGATGATCGAATTTCGTAGCCTTTATAGCATTGGGAATGAATTTCTTTTGTTATAGACCTTGAAGGCCTAATATGAATGCATAAGATAAATATTCCGGTCGACTTCATAACCGCATATCTATCCGATGGTTCTAACCCTACCTACTCCTATTTACCAACTTAGAAGGTTCGGGTTTCATCGGCTTTGTATCTTTATTAGTGAATTCATTTTGTTAAAGGTCTTGAAGGTCTAATATGAATGTAAACGATAAATATTCAATCGACTTCATGACCGCGTATCTATCCGATGATTCGAACCCTGTTTACTCCTATTTACCTGCTTAGGAGGATTGTGTTTCATAAGCTTTATACATTTATTAGTGAATTCTCTTAATTATAGGCCTTGAAGGCCTAATATGAATGTATTAAAACAAATATATTACTCACCACAATCGCATATTTATTTGATGGTTCGAACCCTTTCTACTCTTATTTACCTGCTTAGGAGGATCGGGTTTGAACTTGAATTCACTTATTGACCCGCGCAGCATCCCTAGACGTTACATGTATACTTATAACACATTCGACGGGGCCCATGCGGGTCGAGATTATATTTTCTCCTTTAGTGTATTTATGTGTATACAAATTACGGTGCATGTGCAAGGGGGTATTTTGGAATATTTTAATTGTGCAGGTAAATGCCATTTGATTGCACATAACATTTTATTTGAGAGCTTATAAACACCTTCTGTTTGCTAATACGAGTGTTGCGGATCCAGTGGCGGTATTATCTGGATGTCATGAGGCATCTCATCATTTTGATATTGGCTCCCCTTTCTCGTTCACAGGGGAGGTCCTTCTTGAGATTTGTGACCACTGCCTTGAAAGGGACTCTTTTCAAGCTCTTTAGTATAGTAGACTTATTATTTTCGATGTTTGTGGATACCAAAGCTGTTTTCTTCTTAAATATAGGACTAAGAAGAAACTTTGGAACACCAGGAAGTTTAGTTTTAATTTGTTCAAACATCCCTTTCCTTCTGCCAGGAGGTGTCTTTCTCCATACACCGGGTTGCCCTTGTACCCGACATACTCGTAGATCTTGGTCATTGTTGTCGTAGGTGACATCTGTATTTGTGTCCACAGGAGTTCGTTGTACTTGTGATATACCCACTGTTGTTATCCACAAGCGGCTCATGTATATTTGCAGGAAGCCATTGCATTCACTACGAGCTCCTAGAAGTGCTCGTAAAAGAGCCATTATTTTTGCATCATATTAACCTTTAACCAATCTCAGATGGGTTTGCCGATTGCACTTGTTTGTAGGGATGGACCTTCCACTATCAAACACCAGTATTGTCATCTCAATCTACAGGCATTGTAGGGACTGTCGTAGGAGTCTATTACACCTACATTATGTCCGCCTTTGTCATTCACAACTTATTTGCGGCAATGGGTCCTCCGCAATTGATCTCCAATGTCGCCTTCTTCAATCAACAGACAAAGTTGCTAGTGTTGTTGTACTCTCCTTACATATGTTTGTCGGATAACCACCATATTTGTGACACATTTGCATTATCACTTCTTGATACGCTAGGAGGGTGTGTTTTCTTGAAGTTAGGTTATTGTTGATTGAAATTTGGGGACATTGATTATGTGCAGATTGCATCAATCGTCATATTCGTAGGTATCGCATTGTATTCATCACCTACCAACTTCTCTTTTTTGCAAAAAGCTTGATGTTCCTTGCTATCAAATAACGATTAGATTCATATGAAAACCTCTTGCTATAAGTCCCTTGTTTGCATGTGAATAATTCCTTTGGAATATTGTCCAGTGTCCACCACAACTCTTTCGTTTGTCTATTGATGTTCATCATTTGATTCAAATTAGAGTCTATTGAGTCTTGTTGAGGTTAGGTCCAGTATGGTCTGCAAGTTTAATTACATGTTCGTATTGATTTGAATTTGGCTTCAGCTTGATTTTATTTCATTTGGGTTTGGCCTTTAGAAATCATTTAGATTTTGTTCAGGTTTAGGTCCACAAGTTCACTGTTCTTTTGAGTCCAAATTCTTGTTCTTTTGAGTTCAAACAGGTCCAAGTGGAGTTGTATATTCACCCGAAATTTTGTCAACCTCACGGCGTCTCTCCTGTTTAGGAGAAAACTATTGAAAAATGGGCTTCTCGCCATGCTAGAGAAAAACGTGTACAATAGGTGCCCTCGTACGAGGATAACGCGCGGCCGTGAAATCTTTGTCCCCACCACGCCAGAGAAAGGGTCTTCGGTACCTGTTACAAGAAAAGCAGTCATTTCCCCGCAAGTACAGAGCCGCGTACGGGTACTTAAAAATTATCCCGACCATGCTAAGAAAAGCGTGCACCAGGCCAACCTGCCTCGTCATAGGTGTTACACTGGGTCCCCTTCCCATCATGCTAGAGAAAAGCGTGTATGAGCGATTTACCGGCTCGACACAAACGCCAAGAACAAGATTTCGGGGCCGAAGGATCGCTCGCTTACCTCGTCGTAGGTGTCGCACCGGGTTCCTTTCCCACCACGCTAAAGAAGAGCGTGTATGGGCGGTCTGCTTGACACACACATCGAGGTAAGAGATGATTTATTTATTATAATTAATTACAATTAACGAAATTAATTATAATTTAAAATAAATAAATATAATTATAATAATTAATCATATTTAATTATAACTAATAATAATAAATTTAAATTAAAATAATTTATTTTAATTAAAACTGATTAGTATTAACAATAATTAAATAATATTTAATTATAATAATTATAATTAATTATAATTAACTCTTATTAATAATAACTAATTATAATTAAATAATAATAATAATATCCCCCCAATTCCTCTCTGTTTACGGGAATTACCCTCACAATCGCGAAGGGGAGAAGCTACCCTCACAATCGCGAGCTCCTGTTTTTCTTCTGATCAAACAGGAAGGAAAAGTCGTCTCAGAAGCGAAGTTGGACAGCAACAAAGGGGAGGAAAGTCTACTTTATAGCGAGCGGAGCTCCAGCTGCTGCTCACGATCAAAATGTCAGAACTTCCGATCGACTGGAAGGGATGGTGTCGGAGCTAAGTTGTCTAGCCACAAGGGACCGGGGAAGCATGTGAAATGGAGAAAGTTAGCTTCACAGCGAGCGACCCACGTTGTCGCTTCCGATCAAAATGTCGAAAGGGAAAGTCGTGGAAGGAGCGGAATCGCACGGCCACGAAGGAGCTAGGGAAGGAGCGCACGCAAGGAAGAAAGTTATCTTCACAGCCGCGAGCTCACGTCATTACCTCCGATCAAAGCCGTAACTTCCGATCCTATAGGAAGGGACTTCGTCGAGGGAGAGAGCGAGAGAGATAGCGAGAAAGATCGAGAAGAGCGTTTCTCCGATATTTAACGCGGCAGAGAGGTGCGAGCGACATGCAATCGATGTGCGAGCGATGTGCGAAGGTCGTGCAAGCGATGTGCGGGATGGCTTAGGCAAACAGCAGGTGAGCGAAAAAATTCCTTTTTTTTGTTTCCGTTAGACAGGTCAACAATAAGTTCAATCAAAAGGAATACATTTATTTATTTATTTGTAACATGATAGGCCTTGCTTTTATGTCACTAACTAGGTCTTTTGTGGATATATATCCATCAATTGATAACTCCACTGTAATGTTAATCATTTCTTCCCTTTATCAATCATCTTGATTAACAAACTCTACCAAAGTCTTAGGCAAAGGCTTGGTGATCATCCATCCCCTCCACAGTCAACCATATTTTCACACAGAACTCCCCAGCCTTTCTTTCCTCGGTGACATTGCAATATAAAAGACCCATCAAATCTGTAGTGTAGCACGGCATAATTTACATGAACATGACTTTAAAAAAAAATAAATAAGAACAAAAAAAAAAAAACAGTTCATGGAACCAATGTAAACCGTTAGGATATGGCATGCTGGTTGAAAAAAGGGAATTAAGCAACTAAAAATAATTTTGTACCTTGCTTAAAATTGGTTTCAATGTTCTACATGGGCCGCAAGTTGGAGCCGTATAAAGCACACAAATTAGCCTAGGGCTTTCATGGTACAATTTCCGCAATGCATACTACAAAAGAGAAGCTTCGGTTAGAAATATTCATTGATTACTGATTGCAAATTTGACACAGAACAAGAAACAGAATACTACTATGATAAAGTGCTTTCAAGTAAACATATAAGCAATTAGCTATGATCATTACCTGGCCCTTGTGTTTCGTAAGTGACACATCAAAATGCCATTCTACATCCTTCTCTGTAAGTTCCTTCTTTACCTCTTCTGTTACAGGCTGTTGAAATGAAAATTTATGACGAAAAAGAATGGGTTATCAGCTCATATTGCAGCTGCCAGAAATCGCTTGAATGTATACACTTTGGTCTTTCATATCGTGTCACCAGGTGTGGTTCATGTCAGAAGATGCTAATAGTTTAATGAAATACTAATTGTAAAAAGTAGGTCAAGTCAAAGGAGCAATAAAACAAGGGTTTCAAATTAGGGTTCTCTTTAGGGCAAGCAAGTCCCCACATTTTTTGCTAGCATTGGTTGAAATATGGGCTAGACACTGCCAAAACATGGTTGATCAAGACAAAATTTAAGGGGCTCTTAGTTTTGCTGCAAAGTAGCAGCAAAAATGCAGAAAATCTTACTTCATGTGTTTAGGTTGAATAAAAAAATGATACATTTACATTGTATCTGCATAACTTTTAATACATTTTCTTATAAAATATTCCAGGAAGGAAATGCAGCCAATTTAGCAGCATTTACTTGGAAGGGGTGTTGTTGACACCGTAAATACGTTGTCACAAACCAAACAACAATCAAGAAAGAAAAGTTGATGTGAAAACAATTTCAAAACAAGCGGTTTGGTATGAGCCTTAAAACCTTGATTAAAAAATTCAGTAAAAATCTATTTACCTTGTAAAAATAAATGCAAGATTAAAATTCATTAAACAGAAACTAAATTTACCAAGTATTTCACTGTTGAACGGTATAAAAGTACCAAAGCGCTTAAATAATGCACTTATATAACTGACAACAAGAGAAATCAACCACCTGGTGAAATTCAACAAGAAGATCATTGGCCACTAGATATCTCTCAACAGATAGAGCAGCAACACAACCAGATCCAGCAGCAGTTACGGCTTGCCTCCATTCATGATCCTATCATTGTAATCCATGAAAAGATACACATCAAGTTATGCAAAAAAATATTTCCAACGGGATTTTTTTTTTTAACAAAAATAATTTCAATGGAAATTGAAATTGATTTACCAAAAAAATATTTGCAGATCTTTAGAAATGTTAGACTTGATTTTACTTCAGTTGGGAACTACAAATTCCACGCGCCAACCAAAGATAAAAAAATCACTACTTAACCTAGTGCATCCTTCAAGGTTATTGGCAACTGTTTTAACATCTGATTACCACAGTGGAAGTGTGATCTTCGGATAGACCAAAAGTTCAAAATAGTAGAAAAAATAATTCCAAATTGTCTGAATATGTTACAGAGGAGTGGCATTAATCCTATTAAAAAAGTTATTCAAAACTAGAAATGACATTGAGAAATGATAGAGAGATGTTACAAAAGGCTTGCATTGGAGATGATGGCTTGAGGATGCAAAATTGAAGAAAAAAAAGTATCGTGATTGATAATACCTAGACCAAAGGTTATATGATTAAAAGTTACCCTCTCTTTTTTTTTTTTGGATAAAATAGAATTGACACCTCTTTTAGCACTCAACAAAAAAGAATGAAGAATAAGAATTCATAAAATAGGAATCAACTAGCTAAGAAAAAGCTAATGATGATGCTTTGTAGCATATAACTTTTTCTTCAATGAAGGGTTTGCATAACTTTTTTTTTTCTTTGTCATATATACAATGTCAAGGAAAAAAAACAAACAATGCAAAAGCACCGACCAATGGCAAATATTATGAACGCACAAAATAGTGCGAAAGAGATCAAGCACAACAAGAGACGATAAGATTTATATGGTTCAACAAAATGAGCCTGCCTTGGGAATAAATAGAGGATGAGAGAGAGAGAGAGAGAGAGAGAGAGAGAGATAAATGGTGATGCTTACAATTCTCCAAGATGATACTCACCTTCCTCTTCCCTTAATCTCTTTTCTCTGGACTAATTTCTAAGTATATTAGTTATTAGAACTTTATTTTCTACTCAAAAAAGTTTGCCACCAGAAGCCTTTCCCAAATTACCCACACTTTGCATGAAAATTCATGAAACCATATGCATGCAACCCGGAGTATCAATACCGAACCAAAAGATAACCAACATAATCCCAATGCAAAGAAAAAATTGCTAACGCATTTGACAATCTAATGTAATTTCCTATTGATAGGACTTTTAATGATCAAAATAAAATCAAGTTAAAATTTAAACTTAAATTATAAAAATACAAATTATCCTAATAAATATTTAAACATGATTTATCATTGAAACAAATAATAATTTCCTTGGATTCATGTCAGAGAGGTCTGCTATGGAAGCTATACATTTATTGAAAGGTTTGATGGAGAGAATAAGGAAGATCTACATATGCTATTTATTGATTTAGAAAAAGCATATCATAAAGTTCCAAGTGAGGTGCTCTGGAGAGTTTAAAAAAAAAAAGTTAATAATGTTTATATTCAAGTCATTAAGGATATGTATGCAAGAGCAGCTACTTGTGTTCAAACACAAAGTGGTTTGACCAAATATTTTCCTATTTCAATTGGATTACATCAAGGATCAACTTTAAGCTCATATCTTTTTGTTTTAATTATGGATATTCTTACTAGAAATTTGCAAGATGATGTACCCTGATATATGCTTTTTGCTGATGATGTTCATCTTGTTGATAAGACTAGAGAGGGAGTTGGAAGAAAACTTGAACTATGGAGGCCAATCTTAGAGTCTAAAGGTTTTGGAGTAGATCTAAAACGAATGCATGGAGAGTAATTTTAGTAATAATAAATCTAGTGGGGCATTATGACTTTGGGCGATCAAGTCATTAAAAAGAGTACACGTTTTGAATATCTAGGGTCTATTGTTCAAAGTGATGGTGAAATATATGGCAATATTATTAGTAGAATTCAAATTTGATGGTTGAAGTGGAGGAATGCATCAATATTTTATGGTGTAGAATATTGGCCATTAAAAGAGAAAGATAAAAGTAAATTAAGTATTGCTGAGATGAGGATGCTGATAGGAAATAGTAGTAGAAACAGTAAACAATTTCTGAAATCAAAATTTCAACAATCTTGTCAAGTAGGTTGTGAGGATTTAATGGAGGAAACACAATAAATACACTCTTGATTGAATAGTAGATGAAAGAAAATAGCAAGATACAATTGATACTCAATTCACGAGAAGGATCTATCTCTCCTAATTCTCTACATGCCACTAGAGCCCAAGAACACCAAAGCACCACACAAAAACTAAGAAAACTCAAGATAACCTTAATCCTAATACAAAACTCCTACTTGAACATACAATAATCTCCCCCAGTGACAAAACAACCTCCCAAATTCAAAATCCTCCTTTTGCCAACTCTCTCTCTCTCTCTCTCTCTCTCTCTCTCTCTCTCTCTCTCTCTCTCTCTCTCTCTCTCTCTCTATTCAAGCAGTAGACCACACCCCAAAAGGGCGGGATTTGTTTGGGGCAGACACAGCAGGCTTCTGCCTGCTATAAACTTGAATCGGCCCCTTCTCTTGGGCCGGTTGAACCGGACTAACAATACTACCCTCCCAAATAATCACCTTGTCATCAAGGTGAAAAGATGGAAACTTCTATTGCACCATCTCACATGTCTCATATGTGGTGATGTAGTCCAGTAGACTTTTCCATTTTATCAGAACCTCCTTGGTTCTCTCTTCTCCGTGACAAACCGCCATCAACTCTAGTGATTTTAAGACCACCTCAAAGTCCTTTGTTAGTGTTACCGATAACTCTGAACTAGCTGCAATCGCTCTCCTTAATTATGACACATGGATCACTAGATGTATAGTCACTATCGAGAGTAATCTCAAACGATAGACTACTGCTCCAATCCTCTCCAAAACCTTATATGGGCCAAAGTACCTTTGGGCAAGTTTTTCATTCCTCCTGTTGGAGACTGTCCTCTATTTGTAGGCCTGTAACTTTAAGAACACCCTCTCCCCTATGTTGAATTAGATGTCTTTCCTATGCCCATCTGTCTGTCTCTTTATGATCTGTTGTGCCCTAGACAGGTGCCTTTTTAGTTCTTCCAACACCCTATCTCTTTCCTCCAAGTACTTCTCTACTAAAGAGACTGGTGTGCTATGCTGTCCAAAATACACCAAGTGAGGTGGATCTCGTCAATACAACACTTTGAATGGGGTCATCTGGGAGGCAGAATGATGCGAAGAATTATACTAGTACTCCGTCCATGCTAGCCACTTGGCCCAAAGCTGAGGTGTCTCCTAAACAAAATATCATAGGTAAATCTTCAGGCTCTTGTTTACTACCTCCGTCTGCCGATCTATCTAAGGGTGGCAAGCAATACTCCTCTTCAGTACAGTCCCCTGAAACCTGAACAACTCCCTCCAAAAGTGGCTGAGGAACACCTTAACCTGGTCGGACACTATAGACTTTGGTATCCCATAAAGTCTGACCACTTCTCTGATAAATGTTATTGCAACTGTCATTGGAGTGTAAGGGTGTCGTAGGAGAATGAAGTGAGCATACTTGCTCAATCCGTCCATTACCTCCAGAATCATTATAAACCCTTCAAATCGAGGTAATCCATCTATAAAATCCATGGAGACCTCCTCCCATGCCCAATCTGGTAGAGCGGGCAGTAATAACCCTTCTGAAGCCATGGTCATGTACTTATTCCTCTGACATACCTCACAACTAGCTACCAACTCTTCCACATTCTTGTGAATCCCCATCTAATACAGCTCTGCGACGAGTCTCCTATATGTCTTTAGCACCTTCGAATGGCCCCCAATAGCGCTCCCATAGAACTCTTGGAATAGGTGTGGAATATGGATTGATGTCCTAGGTATCACAAATCTCCCTTGGTACAGAAGCCTCTCCTTCTCTAGAGAATAGCCAGGGTGGCTACTCCCATTTTTTCAGTAAGTCTTTCCTAATACTCCCCTACTCCTCATCCCGTGCACTTTCCTTCTTAATGGCCCCCCAATCCAACATCAACGGTATTGATACTGCCATCTCCTGGAGCTCTCCCATATATCCAGACAAAGCATCTACTACCTTATTCTCTATCCCAGACCTATATTGAATTTCACAGTCATATCCCAATAACTTTGATAGCCACCTCTGGTGCTCCTACGCCACCATCCACTACTTCAGCAAGTACTTCAGACTCCGTTAATCTGACCTGACAATGAAAAATCAACCCAACAAGTAAGGTCGCTACTTATGGATGGCTAACACAATGACCATTAACTCCCTCTCGTAGACTGACTTCAACCTAGCTCTAATTGTCAACACCTGGCAATAGTAAGCAATGGGTTGGTAGCTCTGCATGAGTACTGCTCCCAATCCATACCCTGATGCAATGTTTAAAATTGCGCAATTAGGTATTGAGGCGTTTTTTGTTAGTGAGGCAAGGCGTAAGCCTCAAGGCGTTTTGAGGAGTGAGCCTCAAAATAAAAAATTGAGTTAAGTGCAAATAAATGTTAAAAGTAAATTTTTATATAATACTCAAATAATATGTTAATAAATGACATTATCTTTCTATTGAAATATGAAATAACACAATGACATACATAAGAAACAAAAAATTGCACAAGATGTAAAGTGACTAGTTATAATTGCATAAATATACTTGAAATACAAATATTACATGAGCAAAAAATTAATAAATAAAGAAATTACATAAAAGTATCATATAATATCAAGTTTAACTTCAAATTCTTTCTTTCTCAATTCCCTACTCATCTACATTTAATTTCTAAAAAAGACTAAAAAGTTGGCAGCATCTAGAAAAACATCTTTTTTGTCATCACAAATGTGATCTTTATTTGAGTCATCATTATAACAAATTGATCTCTCTCGTCTCATCTGTGGAGTCTAATGCCTCTCAATATGCTTCATCTTTATTTATTTCAGGCATATTCCTCTTTCAAAAATATTTTCCATCAACATAAGGATGAGATTAATACTCCCAAATTTTTAGAGGTGGTGGTGATGTGCAGCTTTCAAGTGATCCTTGATGGAGGCCATGGCGTTGGTGGTTGTGAAGAAGGTGACGGGCTGGAGGTTGAGGCAATTGAGAGGAAGTTGCTGAGACTTGGGGGTACACGAAGTGCGATTTGTTCGGGGCTTTACTTCAGAGTTTATGTAAGTTTTAATATATATATATATGGGGTGAGGCGTAAGCTTCACGCTAGTGAGGCGAGGCGTGCCTCAAGGCGGGCCTTAACCAAGTTGAGGCGCAAGCCTCACAAAAAAATTTTAGGCGTAAGCCTCGAGGCACTTTTCATTGGAATTGCGCAAAGGCGGGCCTCAAAGCAAGCCTCATATTGTGCAATTTTAAAACAAGCCCTAATGCGCCCATCTCCACTACAAAAATTTGACTGAAATCTAAAAGGGCTAGGACCAGTATGGTGGTCATGGCCTTCTTCAACCTCTTAAAAGCTGTTGTGGCCGCCTCCCCCCACAAGAAGTTATCCTTATTCAATTGTTCTATTACTGGCCAAGAGATGGTGTTATAGCCCCCCATGAACCTTCTATAGTATACTGGCAGCCCTATAAATCCCCTCAGCTCTCTCAAATTCTTTGGTAGTGATAATCTCACCATTGCCTTGATATTAGCCTGATTTGCGGTCACACCCTCCTAAGATACTATATGTCCCAAGTACTCCACACTAGCCTGTGCAGAGCAACATTTATTCAAATTTTCCCTCAAATGATGCTCCTATAACACCTCTAAGGCCGTCCTCAAGTGCTCCCAATGTTCCTCATCTAACCTGCTGTACACCAGGATATCATCAAAGAAAATCAACACAAATCTCCTGAGATAGGGTCAGAACAACATATTCATTAGGGACTGGAATGAAGCTGGGGCATTAGTGAGGCTAAAAGGCATTACCGGGAACTCATAATGTCCATCATGTGTTCTAAAAGTAGTCTTCAACATGTCCTCCCATTTCGTGTGGATCTGATGGTACCCGGACTTCAGATTTATCTTGGTGAAGATAACTACCCCACTCAGCTCATCAAATAGTTGATCTATCACTGGGACATGAAACTTGTCTATCATAATTTTCTTATTCAAAGCCCTATAGGCCACAGAATCTCTGAATCCCATCATTTCTCCTAATCAGTAAGATTGGACTAGAAAAAGGGCTCACACTAGATCTGATAATACTTGCCTCCAGCATTTTTCTAATCATTTTCTCAATTTCATCCTTCTAAAATTGAGGGTTACGGTATGGCCTAACACTTATGGGTGACACCACATCCCTCAGGGTGATAGCATGCTCCTACTCCCTTGGTGGTGGCAATCCTTGAAGTGACTAAAAGACCTTACTGAATTGATGTATTAACGGTTGCATTGAAAGAGGCATGTCTCCACCCTCCTACAATATGATCCACTCTAATCTCTGCATTTCCACCATGAAATCTCCCCACACCTCCTGTATGCTACTCACCATGATTTTAAGGGACATCATAGCTTCAGATAACCCTGCATCTCCCCTGATCGCTACTCTTCTCTCCTCCATCACCAGCTCCATGGTCAGTGCCCCCCAATTAATGTTGTTATTCTAAAAGGTCTGCAACCACTTCATCCCAGGATGACATCAGTACTTCCTAACTCCAATAGGAGAAAATCTTCCCTCACCTGAATCTCTTGTATGGTCAACACTACTCCCCTACAGATGCCCTTGCCCATCTCCATCATCCTCGTGCCCATCATCACTCTATAGCTCCTTATATCCACCAAAGTCACCCCCAATTGGTCCAAGACCTGGTTGGAGATGAAATTATAAGTAACCCCACTATTAATCAACACTACCACCTCTCGGTCTATAATTTCCCCCTTCACCTTCATGGTATGACTAGAAGTGAATCATACCACTGAGTTCAGGGAGACCTTTGTCACATCTAGATGCAGTTTATCCTCCTCTATCCTGGTTTCACACCTACCTCCCTCCTCAGCTTTCTCGTCATCACAGATGATGAGAACCTGAAGAGTTCAGTCTTTGCACATGTGCCCCGGGTATACTTCTCATCACATCGAAAGCATAATCCCTTTGCCCTCTTTTCCTGCACCTCCCCCTCGGTCAGTTTTTTTTTAAATTTCCCCCACTTTCTCCTTCAAGATCTCATAAAGGTTGCCCGGTGTAGGCCCCTTGGGTGCTAAGAAAGTGGTGGTCATCCTATATGAACCACCTGAACTGTCGCCTATGGCTCCCCTCTCCTAGTACTTATGATCTTCCACCAACTGAGCTAGCTCCATACCCTCTCCCAAGTCTCGAGGTCTCATGACTCTCACTGCTACTCGGATCTCTGATTTAAACACCTTTATAAAATTCCCCTTCAGATTAGTCTCAAATAACTGATCCAGCCGACTTGTCAGGTACTCAAATCACTCGCAGTATTCTGCCACCAAGTCTTTCTGTACTAAGGCAAAGAACTGCTCATAAGAGTCCCTTCCATGCTGGTTCGAAAATATTCCAATAAGCACTCTTTGAACTCCCTCCAACTCCGCAAGGGCCGCCTCATGTCTCTCCACTGGTACCAAGACAACACCTTCCCTTCCAAACATAGGTCAGCTGCCATCACTTTCTCCTCCTCCGTCAACCCATTAACGGCGAAATATCTCTCTACATTGTATATACACTCGCGTGCATCCCCACAAAGATGGGCATTTTCAACTTCCTGACCTTCGGATACCCTCAATTTCCCCTAATTCTTCCATAGTTTCCCCTTCTCCAAGTCGGTGGTCCCCTCAAGTGTCCTGATCCTCCCTTCCACATTCATATCCAAACTCCTCTTCGAATTCCCCCCTCGCTTCAAAATCAACACCTCTCCAGCCATAATCTCCCTCCCTCCCTTCCCAATCAACACCACTTTGCTCATATCCCCATGTCCACGCCTCTCCCCATAACTTTCACCTCTCTCCTTCCTCTAGAAATGTTCCATATGGGGTCTTCTCCCTTCTCCCTCTATGATCTCTACATCATTTTCATCCCTACGAATTTCAAAATTCGTATTTTTCCTTTCTAGCCCTCTCTCCTCCGATATCATCATTTGATTGTGGAGATCCAACATCTTCTTCACCATGTCACGTAGGTCAGAGAATTATTCTTCCATGGAGAAAATTCTGTCCTCCATCGTTGCTTTGATTTGGTTCATCTCCCCCTCAAGACATTCTTCCAACGCCTCAAAGTTATTGGCCACCATTGATACCCGGATTTTTGTTAGACTCAAAAATTCGTATTTCCAGCCCAAAAACAGCAAAAATAATTGTTCAGGCAAGAAAAAAGGTCGAATGAATCAGCCTAAAGAACCCCAAAAAAGCCCCAAAAAGCATCTATGATACCAATTTGATGATAGTAAAAACAGAAAACAATTGCTGAAATTAGAATTTCAGCAATCTCGCCAAGCAAGTTGTGAGGATTTAATGGAGGAAACACAAGAAATGCACGCTTGATTGAATAGTTGAAAGAAATAGCAAGATGCAATTGATCCTCAATTCAAGAGGATCTATTTCTACCAAATCTTTAGATGCTGCTAGAGTCCAAGAACACCAAAGCACCACACAAAAACTCTGAAGACTCAGGATAATCCTAACCCTAATACAAAACTCCTACTTAAACATACAATAATCTCCCCAAATGACAAAACAGCCCTCCCTAATTCAAAATCCTCATGTTTCCGCCCCTCTATTTAAGTAGTGAACCCCACCCCAAAGGGCGGGATTTGTTTGGGGCGGACACAACAGGCTTCCACCTGTTGAAAACTTGGACCGGCCCCTTCCTTGGGGCGACAAGACCGGTCCAAGTCTGGACCGGTCTAACAGATGCTCAAGTGGATAAGTAGTTCTACACTTAGAGATAAAGTGAGATAAAGTAAACGAGACTATAAGTGAAAAGGTTGGAGTAGCTTCAGTGGCATATAAGATTAGAAAGAGTCATCTTAGAAGGTTTGGTCACATAAAACGTTGGTCTTTCAATGACCCAGTTAGGAGAATAGATGTATTAGATTTGGCCTAGATTAAGAAAGATAGAGATAGACCTAAAAAGACTTAGTTATAAAGTATTAGAAATGACATTTTCTTATTAGATTTAAATAAAAATTTAATTCTTAATAGGACACAATGGAGAAAAAAGATTCTTTTATGATCGAAGTTAGATCCCTTATAAAAAGGAATCCCCTCACCAATAATCTCTCAACATGTCTTATATCATCAAGAGAGCTTTCTCATTTAAAAGATGAGCCATAAATCTCTCAAGCCAGCTAGAAGCAAGAATAAATAAAGAGAGACAATAATATAAAATTATAAAATGAGTAAATTAATATCAAGATTACCCAATTAGAAAGTTCTTCACAAAGTACATTACCATATCGATGGAATCAAAGACAAATTTCTAACATAATGTTACTTTCAGCTTGTCAAAATGATGCTCCACTATAGGGGTGACTATAGGGGTGTAAGCGAGCCGGCTCTCAACTTGTTAATGAGGTCACAAGTCAAGTTTATCAAGCCACGAGTTCGAGCTCGAGCCTAAACTTGAGCTTTTATATTAAACGAGCTCAAGGTCAGCCTAACTCGGCTCATTAAGCTACTCGACACAAGGATAAAGTGAGTATGAAAAAATTGACACAAAACAATTAACAATTACATAAGCAGGGCACTTTTGGTGATTCACAGTATCCAAAGCATTGTTCACCAGAATGTCTTCAAATAGTTTAAACCTTAGAGAAGCAAAATTTCATGACAGGTTCTACAATTCAAGTATCTTTCAAAGTTAAAACCTCCCCCAATAAGTAACCACCATATCTCTTAACGAAATTTAAGAATCTAAAAGGTAAGGAAATTACTATAAAGTTAATTAATAAACTTTGAAGATAAAAGGGCAGAAGATAAAAGGGCTAATTTCTTGATGTTACCTGAACATCACCAGCAGCAAAGACACCTTCAACAGAAGTTTTTGATGCACCATCTTTGACAAATATGTACCCTGAGCTATCAAGTTCAACTTGACCTTCTAATATCTGGCTGTTTGGAGAATGTCCTATACCATAAAATAGACCTTTGGCATCCAAAACTGACTCTTCCCCTGTGTCAAATCTTCTAAGTAATACACCAGACATTTGGCCTTTGCTGTTACTGACGACATCCACAGCTTCTGTATTGAAGTGCAAGGTAATATTCGGACTGTTGAGTACTCTGAAACATTCGCCATAAGCAACCTGTTAAACAAACATTAAGGAATTGCCTATCAAAAAAAATGTTCATGCACAGTTTTTGATGTGATACCAGGAATTGAATCTCAGAAAATTTAATAAAAGTTGTTAAAATAATGAAAGTTCAATCTTGACGCTTTTCTTAAGTGATATTTCAAAAAGATCTTAGAATTTTAACCAAGTCTAGGCAAGTTATTACCGCTAAATTAGCAAGATTTATAAAATAACGCCGACAATAAATAGTAAAGCCAATGAAAAGCCAACTAGAATCCGGTGGTTAACAAAGCGATTGTCTCACCTTGAGGCTACGCTCATTTGTCTACTTTTAGGGTTGTCGGAAGAAGAAGAACCACACAAGGGATGAAACCACTCTGAGGTAGACGGTGCCGGAGATCCGTAGTGAAGGAGAGGAAGGCGTAGGATGTGGAGGTGGCGTGGAAGGTCGGTCGTCGATGGTCCACTCGTAGTCCGGACGTTGTCTATCAATGACTTGGATGAGGGTCGGGAGGATCCGATCCAAGTAATCTCCCACGGTGTCTTCGTCGGATTCAAATCCCGCGTCAAAGAACGGCGATTGTAGGACGTCGAGATTACCGTGAGCATCGAACACAAGCCCCCATTCTAGCTCGGGATCCGCCATGCGACATGGAGGTGAAGATGGGTGGTCGCCACAAGAAGCTCTCCAATGGGAGGAAGAGGGGTCGGCGGGTTGTAGAGGTGATGGGAGGCCCGTGGTAGAGCTAGGGTGAGAGGGTGAGGGTTCTGTTTGAAAACTGAAATTAATTTCAGTTTAAGGGAATTGGGAGGGAAAATTTGAGATTTGATTTTCCAATTAAGAGGCAATTAAGGCATTAAAGAAATTTTAATTGAATGGAGCCATAAGGGGAGCCGGCAGTAGAGAGAGAGGGGAAGGAGGATTTGAAAACTGAAATTAGTTTCAGTTTTTTATGTAATTGGAGGGAAAGGGTATTTGGGCTTAATTAGGATTTCAAATAAGTGGGGAGTTAATTACCTAATTAATGGGAATTCCAACTGGGGGGGGCATTACTAGACAGAGAGGGAGTTAGGGAGAGAGGGGGAAAGGTTTCCAAAAATAAAAGATGACTAGGAAAATTTGAAATAAAATCCAAACCAATTTAATTTTAACTTTGGATTTATTCAAAAACTTTCCATAAATAGAATTTCCAAATTTGGATAGAAATCGAAATTTGAAATTCAAATTTCAATGAGGGGTTGGAGATGGAGATGTGGGGAGGTGGTGGAGAGGGAGGAAGGTGGGGAGGAGCCGGCGGCAAGGTGGCCGGCTAGCCGACAAGATTAGGGTGGCCGACGGGTGGGGATCCCAAGGAGATGGCAAAAGTGGAGAGGGTCTACTTCTTCCAAAATCGTGGGTATGGATTGTGGTATTTTGTGGATGAGGAGAAGAGCTATGGATGTAAACACCAAGAGAACTCACAAAGAGATCTCATGCAAAGAACTCACCAAGAGATCTTCTTGAACTCACAAAGAGAACATAATAGTAGAAATTTTTCATTCATCAATCATCCATAACATACAATGACAAAGCCTTTATATAGGCTATCCGAAAATAAGAAAAAGACATAAAGACGACATTGCCCTTGGGCTACAACAAACACTAATTCCCTCATAGGGGTACAAATGGAAAAACATGAAATATAAATGACATGAATAAAATAAAACATTAAAAATAAAGACTCTGAATCATGGCCGTCGCTCGACGACCCCTCCGATGGTACGTATGTCGGAATCTCCTATGGATGTCCTCATCAGTTTTATTGTAAGCTAGAGTTTTAATGGGTATGTCCATTATGATTTATATACATTTTGATTATATACATAGAATCTTGAATTTGTTTAGTGGTTCTATAAATGAATAGATGATTATTAATTAAAATTAACTTCCGTGCTAAATACTATAATGTTCTCAATGAAAAAGTCGATGTTTTAAATTTTGTATAAGTTAAAAATTATAATAGGTAAGGTGTGGTTTTTTTTTTTCCTATTCACCTCATATCAGCCTAGAGGGGTCAACGTAACAATAATTTCCTCTAAGATAAATACACAAGGGCATATGTACACGTGATTATTATAATGTGCAGTAGGACCCAATAATCAGCATATAAACACCACCACATGGATATGAAAATGCTAAATTTAAATGAAATTGCATGTTTTAATCACCTGTCTTGCATAGCTTTGGATGCTCGTAGCTGATTATTACGAACTAGTAAATGTACATGACGAGCATACTTGGTTAAGTACAATGCTTCTTCAGTAGCAGTATCACCACCACCAACAACAGCAAGAACTTGACCCTTAAACAATGGTGATGCACCATCACATATAGCACAAGCGCTTATCCCTCTGCTCCAAAACTCATCTTCACGTGGTAACCTAAGCCTTTTTGCAGTAGCGCCGGTTGCAACAATGATACTATGGCACCTTACCTGGAATAAGAAAATCAAACAAGTGACCACAATGGAAGTAGAAAGGAAAAACCAAAGTCAAATATTAATTCAAAAATACACAATTAGTTCATTTCCAAGTTTGTAAGCACTAAAAAAGCTTGAAAAGGTGGAAAAATAAAATCATGTAGCACCTATTCTCGTAAAATTAATGAGAATGTTACAGAAACTACGAAGAAAACTGAACAAAACGGTCATGCACATCTACATAAAATCACTAATTCAAAGATTTGCAAACAAGACAACACCCACACGGTTTCAAGCAGAATAACATAAGTCATGGAGACCAATCCGCTTCTTTATTAATCGCAATATATTTAATAAACATACAACCAGATATCTTCACTATCCATCTTGGAAAGGAGATTGCTGCAATGATTACCAGCAGCAGATCGCCAGTAACAAAATCATCAATGCCATAATGACATTACTTTCCAAGAACTATAGATAACTGTGCAAAATCCACATGTATTAACCAAAGGAACTCACTTTTTTCTGCTCTAGTAAAGAACCGGACAATATTGAAACTTTTGGCTGATATTTAAAAGATATATGGTTTCCTAAAACAGGATACTAAAACCCCCCATCAAAATACAAGTTTGCAAACCAAGTTTCTACATATTAGAAGAGGTTGATGTAACCCGAAGGATTCACTTTGTTTCAAAGCAACTAAACATATCATTTTCAACCTCGATACATATTAAATAGTATTGATGCCATATGATGCATGTCTAAGTGCTTCTACAATAGCAAATGCAGATTTATATCATGTGATGTATTTCAAAATTGATAATGCCCTCGTACTGTTCACATAAGAAACCCAAAAGATTAATGCGCTACCAAAAAGCTCTATGCAAATATACTTGAGAAAACATCACAAGCACACATGATTAAAATATGGAAAGAGAAACATAGCACATATATCTATGCAATCTTGGGATATATACATGACATAAAGTACAATCCCACAAATGAATATGGTCGAGCTTCATATCTGATACTGAATAGATATAACTATAAAGTCAGATGGAATGGTACAAATACATGTTAATGTGTTATGATGGGAATTAGGTATGTGACAGTTAGTTATTAATCCTTAGAATGACAACAAAGAACATGCAAGAGATTATCAACATCAATAACATAAAAAAGAACCAAAGAAAATCTAAACCCTAGAAGATGATCAAGAATATTTGACTCTTCAGGCAATCCCGTTTAGCTGATAAAAAAAGGTATGCTTAACTAACACAAGCAGCCTTTAAACAAGTGTTGCAATGTTAACAATCTAACACGATCACATGATTAGAATTAATTGATAGCTATCATACAAAAAAGTTATCTTGAAAACACTTAATGGAGAATGAGGATTATAAAACCGGCCTTTTGAGTTCAAATTAAAAGTGAGAGAGACAAAAAGAACAAATTCATGAAATAGAACATTATGCCAGCACATTACAAAGTTTCCAAATTCACCACCCTACCACAAGAAACCAAAAACAAAATAAAACCAGTGTGCCCACCTCACGTTCACTACTCTTGATGCTAAAAGGCCTGCTTCTTACATCAACAAATTCCACATCTTCTTGGAAAAGCTCTGCACCCCAACGCACAGCTTGCTTCCGCATCCTGCGAATTTAGCAGCGACAACAATTTCTAAGGAAATGTATGAAATTCAAATTAAAATTTTAAAATAGTTCGTGGCCACAAAGCAACCTTAGATCTAGTACAAAAAGCATATAAACAAATAGTTACAATAGCAATAAATTTTAACTAGGCAGAGGTTGAGTGAAAACTATTTACCTGTCCATCAAATCTGGACCACTGATTCCATCAGGAAAACCAGGGAAATTTTCAACCTCGGTGGTCGTCATTAGCTGGCCCCCTGGAACACCACCAACTTGAAAACCTTCAAAAACTAACGGTTTTAAATTGGCACGAGCAGCATAAATTGCTGCTGTGTATCCAGCTGGTCCTGATCCTATGATAACCACATTCTCAACTCCCTTAAAAGAAGCTGTAGAAAGCATATTCATTACAATTATTGTATATTCCCCCCATCAATAACTGCATTGCTCAATGAAAAGAAAACTACAAAATGCTATAAACTCAAGGTTCTCAAATTTAACGTGAATGAAATAACAAGATAAAAAGTTACGAAACTGCCAATTGATATCCAAACATAACTACAGAAATTATGGGTTTAACTGTGAATGAAAATGATTCAATGATTATCAAAATAACTGCATGAAACCTGATAGAATTGCACAGAACGATCAATAAGCTGGAAACCATGCAATTCAGTAATATTCCTCACAATCAAAAAATCACTTGAGTATAACGCATAAACTTTCTTCAAAGCTTGCTTCATAAAACTCAACTCAAAATTAGATCACGTGTCACTTATGTTGGTGTCTTGGTGACCCAGTATGTATTAACTACATATGACCACTCCCAACATTGTTTTACATAAACAAGCTAAACAATAAGTAGGTATGTGGTTAATTAGTGATGTTGTGTCAAATTATATTTAGTATAAAATATATTTAATATTATAAAGTTTCCAAAGCGATAACATGATAGCAAAATTAGAATATATTCAACTACACTGTCACATGATATCATAGCATAACATCACAATATTCATCTATTACAGGTTAAAAACTTAGTATTTCCTTGAATCTAATATCATATGCACATCATTCTTGAACTTCCCTGAGTTTCCTTGCTGACTTTTTTCATCCAACCCAGTGGTCCAAAACAAATAAAAGAAGCACAGCTTAAAATCTGAACATTAACTTCAACTATTTCAAATATCGTGGTTGCCTCTCAATTTCAAATTGTGAATATGTTTACAATGCAGAATGTGAAATCCTTTAAGGTGAATTCACAATCTCTTTTCATCGAACTTGAAAGTGAAATAATTTAATGCACCAAGCACGAGGATGAAATGACATGGTATGGCATCAAGTAGAATTGAATAAAGAGAACAACATGCATGACCAAATACGCATATAAAATAATATAATGAATGTTATTTTTCAGCATGCCGAACAAAAATAACATTGCTGCTTGATTATCCATAAGTTTGCCATGCACTACGGTTATGTTATACATTATCAGAATTGTTAGGATACCATAAGCAGCAACAGCAACAACAACAACATCAAGCCATTATCCCACTACGTGGGGTCGGCTAGATGAATCTTTTTTCTCCCTTGTGTCCTGTTAAAAGTCAAATTCTCATTTAAATCTAATAAAGAAAGTTCATTTCTAATATTTTCTAACGAAGCCTTTTTAAGTCTACCTCTAACTTTCTTAACATTAGCCAAATCTAATACCTCTACTTTCCTAACCAAGTCATCGGAAGGCCACCGTTTTATGTGACCTAAACCATCTAAAGTGACTCTCTCTAATCTTATCTTCCACTGGAATTATTCCAACCTTTTCATGCATATGCTCATTCCGTATCATGTCTATAAGAGTAAAGCCACTCATCCGAGCAGACCATAAGCATCATATAAAAATTCATTCTCTTTTCAGACATAAAAAATGTTGCTGGATTTATATAAACAGTTCAGACATTTTCTGGGAATCCAGTAGAGAGGATGGTTTTGAAGAACTTCTATGAGGAGGATTTCGGCAAAGTTCTTTAAAAAACATTGTAGGAAACCCTAAAGAGGCCCTGAATTTCTTATCAACGCCACTTTCCTCTTTCCAAAAAGTGCTTCAGAAAACCCCTATACAGTTCGGGCGGGTCTCATTCCATGGTTTTCAAACTTCCACTTTAAGAAAACCATATATTTCTAATTTCCAGAACAAGGATTGCCTACCATTATCATGCTATTTTACCAAAACTCAAGTCCAGCTCATCGGCACTTTCAATACTCCCAATGAATTTTTTTCTACAAAGAAAACAAAATATCAAACAAGAAAATCTCAGAAAAATCAATTCTCAAGTCTACCTCACATCCAAACATAATGCTTAGCTTTATTTGTTTTGTATTCTGGCCATAAGTGACCTAGTTCCGGAAAAAAAATTAAAAATAATAAAATTAATAAAATTAATAATTAAAAAAAAAAGTGACCTAGTTCCTGGTAGTGCTCCTCAGTAGCATAGCCCTAAATTTGGATCCTCGGAGGCTCAACTGTTCACCCTTTCAAAAAGAATCACCATTGCTATTATTGATTTTCAAATTCCAACAATACTCTACCACTCATTCCAACAAACAAAAAGAATCCACCCGATTACCCAATGGAGATTCAGAATAAATCCAACCACAAAATATACACATCAAGATTCTAATTTATGCAGAAACGCACAGGAGTTAGTGGAGCAGGTGGCAGAAAAACGATAAGTTAACCAAACCTACGACCGAGGAACTCGTACCCTCATCATTAGACGACACATTCAGCGGACAGAGATGACTCCGCCCGCCGCCAGGGAAGCTACGGCGCGGGAATGGGTGAAGGCAGAGGGTGCGGCTGCGGATTCCGATAAGAGAGGAGGAAGGAGGAGGTGCGGCCGCCGAAACAGCCGCCATCCCCAAACGAAGCGCCACCATTGGCCTCAGAACATGCAAAGGATTGAAAGAGTGATGACAGAACCGAAAATGAGATGGAGAAGTGAGGATGCACCTCGAGGAAATCGAAGGAGTCAAGAAATTCCAATAACAGCGCCTTTATGATGTTATCCATCTTTTATTAACTGGCGGAGGGCGATGCTGTCGTCATCTGATCTCCTCGTCCCCTATTTCATATACGTTCTATCCGATTTCTGTTTGGGTGCACGTTGTCTTTGGCCAACATAGCTGATGGCCGGGCGAGGAATGTGGTTGCCTGTGTGGTATTTGGTGTTATTGGAGTGGAGATAAAAAATATATATTTATATTAAAATATTCTAATATAATTTATATAAAAATGAGTTTAAGAGCTTACAATGCTCTCTCTCTTAGGAATTTTTATTGCGTCCTCCCACCTGACATAGAGCTACATCAGGTAGCCTATGATATGTCGCCACGTGTTCTTACTCTTGACCGCACAACGACCCGACCCGTAACGGACCCGGGAATTTGCGTAGCTCGGTATTACTAGGTATTGGTTGATTTTGCTCGACAAAAATGAAAAATACTATTCTATGAAGACCAATACCGAGAAATACCGAGCAATACCGAGTTCTTTTATGTATTAGTCGGTATTGCTCGATATTGCTCGGTATTGCTTTGTATTGCTTGATATTGGTCTTCATAATGCGATATTTCTTGTTATTGTCAAGCAATACTGAGTAATACCTAGCAATACCGAGCAAATACCGAGCAATACGCGAACATAGTAATCCCGGAGTCGATCCGAGTCGGGACGTCGGGCCGCGCGGTAAAAAGTAAGTGCACGTGGCGACATATCATAGGCTACCTGATGTAGCTCTACGTCAGGTGAGAGGACGCAATAAAAATTCCTCTCTTAGAGCTAAGGTTTTGGCAACAAGAGTTTCCCTTAAAGTTGGTCATAATTTTCTTCCATTCTTCCTTCACTTCTTTTGCTCAATCTCTTCTTTTTGAGTTATGAATGTTTATTGTTGTTCTAAGGCTCTAAGTATAACACCTACTGAATCACGATATAGTTGCACATATTTTGACCCGACATGAAAGAGATAATTTAATGAATCATGCATTTGAACTCTATTGCATGTTTCTATGAATGTTTTGTATGCATGTGAATATATGAATCTGCTCTAGAGCAAATTCTGGCGTTTTATGCTCATGTTTGTGAAATTTGAAAATGTTGTCTTATGATGCTACGGTGCCTGGGTAGACGGCGCCATGACACTGAACTCTTTGGAATTTGGCCAATTAATTAGGCTACTGTAACAATAGATGGTGGCATTGCGGTGTTGTGGGCTCCGAGAGTGAGCACTGCACTAGAGTGAGCACTGCAGCACGCGTGATTAGGCGTTGTGATGTTCGGTCAAACTTAATATTAAAAATATCATTTTCACTAAATCCACTCATTTCTTCCCTTAGAAGTAGTTGGGGTGCACGTGAGAGAGAGAGAGAGAGAGAGAGAGAGAGAGAGAGAGTTTTAGGTGCTTCAATCTATTTTCTGTTGACGACCCAGTTCTGAAAATTGTCTGGCTTGAGTAGGTTGCATTTTGATTTAAAATATAATTTTATGGACTTCAAATCGAGAGAACTTTTAAATGATAAAACTTTCACAGCGTAATTTATGATTTGTTGTAGACAATGTAGTTCTTGACATTCAGGTATTATTATATAAAATTTTTGCCTAAAAAATAATAATGTAAAACAATTAAACCTCCAAAATATAATTATGTAAAATCACTGATAATTTAATAAAATTTTGAATCAATAATTTTAACTACAATGTGCAACGTCCCAGAATCTAAATTGAAAAGAATTCTATCTGTTATATTTTATAATAACAATCAGAGCTATCTAGAAATGGCAGCATAAATGATTTTATAGTTCAAAACATTAATATGCATCTATATTCATTACTCTAAAAAGTATTGACAATACAATACTTAAGAGTCATCTATATTCTCACTCATGAATATACAAGAATAACTAAAAGTTAAAAAGACAAAAAACTAAAAGTCTCATATATGATTGGTCTCACACTCATGATCATCTTCCTGACTTGAAATTATTAAGCAACATATAAGGAGTTAAAACTCAAAACACACAAAAAATAACACACAAAAAATAACATGCATGCAATCAATCAGTTCATAATAGTGATAATTAGTATGATCATAAATATATGCAGAAATAGCAAAACACATATGCAATAATAGTAAAACATGTAAACTAGTATGGTACGAAGGCTAGTAAAATAATGCAATATGAAAATAATGAAATCTATAAACTAGTAAATCTAATATGAATGTCGAGACAATAAAGCAATAAACAATCATTCTTAAAGCATACGTTGTAACAGTGTTAGCGAATCAATAAGGAAATAATATAAATTAGTAAAACTAAAGAATCTATGAAGACTGTCAGAGTACTTATCAATATAGTACTATCAAGAAATCATATAACATATAATATTCAATTATTATATATCAGTATCAAATCAGTATCTTATATCACAAGCTCAAAAATCAAACTCATGTTCTTAGTAATAGTAAAACAGTATAGTGACAGTAATCAGTAAAAATAGCAAAATAGTATAGTACCAATAAATCAGTACAGTAACATACATTCTAGTAATCACATTAAACAAGTAAGAAATTCTGTCTTTCATGGTGGTTTTCAAAAAATTAGTAAATCAATAATTATTGGCTCAATAAATAGAATGGTAACTTTTTATTCATCGGCACAATAATCATCTCCTTATAACTCTCAATCAGTGAACCATATAAATCAATAGAGGATAACATAAAACCATAATATTTAAAGAAAAGCTCGTTGGTCTACCATATTATACAGGTCAATCAATGCCCAACCAACATCAGTAAATAAATAACATTTACTTATTTTTACACCAATACAATAATATCAATCTATTATTACCCAATCCCATACTCATATTCATTCATAATACTTATATTAATAGTATGCTTGCATTAAAATTTTAAAATTGCTATTTTATGCAAATTATATAAAATACAATAATTATCATACTACCTAAAAAAATTATAAAATCAATGAGTCAAAATATCTGGAATAATTGGTACTATATTATATAAAAAGTTATGCGATGAAAGTTTATTATATATGGAGAAAATATAATAAAATTATTTTTGGAGAAATTAAATAGACAAAATCAAAATCTTTAAAAATAGAAATATTATAAAAGTCTCCTACAATGATTTGGGCAATTCTCATTAAAGTGATAAAATGAATTGACAACCAAAATCTTGATTTCTCTTCTCCTTCCTTTTTCTTCTTTACTTCCATGGCAAGACATGATTAAGGGAATGAGAGAGGTGAATGGAGAGAAAAATATATATAAAAACTCAATTAATCTTCTTTTGAAAACTTAAAATCAATAACGATCATTATCGTCATATATATTCAAATAATCATTAATGAATAGAATTTTCTTCCTTTAGGGAGATATATCATTTGTTGATAAAACTTTGAATATGAGATTAACAATAATTCATCTAAATTATCGTAGCTAGATATTCGATCAAACTTTACTTTGGCCCTTCGGGGCCATATGTAGTTTTTTCTTAAATTTGACTACGATATTTGTGATAGAATTTGTAATTTTAAATATGAACCCCATTTTGAAATTTTATTTCTACATCTCGAGGTAATGTATCTTTTCCTATGGGTGGTTCAATTTTAGAATTAAAATTTAAAGTCAATTTAAATTTCTCCCAAAGAAGATTAAACTTTTCAAAAACTACTTTTCACGCCCAAATAATAGGATATGCTAAAAGAGTATGTAAATTTTTTTTATGTATTTTTCAATTTCTTGAGTCAAATCTTGTAAAGGTGTGTCTTAGCCTGGTGACTATGCACACACACACTCATGGGAGTGAGAAATAGAGGAAAATTAGAAGAGTTTTTTTGTTGAATAAATTGTAATGTATGATAAATATTGTATTGGACAATCATCTTATCAGAAAATCATTTGAGTTTTTTTTTTTAGTTCTTTTAAGCCCTCTATTTAAGCTTTTTCATAAGACTTTATAAAAGTTTTTTTGGCATTCATTGAGTATTTGTTTCTGAAAAAAACTTAAAAAGAGAGACTAGAACTTGGGAAAGAAATGATGGAGTTTGTAAGAGCGGAAGAAGATCCTTGTGGGTTGCAAGGGAAGATCCTTGTGGGTTGCTATGGCGAATTTGCATCTGAGTTCCTCCATGTGTTAAGGTTTGTCTTGAGGGAAGCTTTGGGAAGATGACCTCTTTGATGTCAAAAGACCAACTACTCCACCACACCGAGGGAGATGAAAGTGATTCCAGGTTCTCTTCCTTCATCATGAGGGTGAAAAGGGATTCTAGGTCTGTTTCACTAGGAGGGTGAAAAGGATTCCAAGTTCTCTGTCTCACCAAGAGGGTAAGGATTCTAGATTCTCTACCACACCAGGAGGGTGAAAAAGATTCTAGGTTCTCTGCCTCAGCAGGAGGGTGAAAAGGATTATGGTCCTATGCTGCATCGGGCTAGTGGAAGAGATTTTGTAAAGGCTTCTCTGACAAGCTATAGGGGCTAAAGGAGAGACACTATAATAAAAATATAAATATAAATTATTTATCAAATTCTTAAAACCATTTTAAAAACTTCTACACAGCTTGCGACCCAACTAGGGAACCCTTGAACCTAGTCTTATTTGATGAACTCGACATCAACTTAAACTCCAACAAACTAAACCATCAACTCCATATCATAAGTTCACATCATAAGCTAACCTTCTACCATCATTTTTAGTCATTTATCCACATAAAAGATAATCCCTAAAATGATCTTCCAAATCAGCCCAAAATTAAACTAAACCAGACTAATCTTAGCATTCCTACAAGTATGCCTCTTTAAAATCCTCTCCATTTTGCAATAAATCACAAATTTAAACATTAAACTAAATATTCATAGTTTTTTCTAGCCATTGATCTCACCAAAAGGCTTCCCACTGCGATTATATTTAGTATTGGAGCAAATTTGAAAAATTGTATGAGAAATTATTGACTTTAAAGCAAGGTCGTATTTTGGTTAATAATTATTTAAACATCTTTAAAGACCTAATTTCTATAGCTGTTAGTATTGATAATGATTACTAACTAGTTAATAAAATTTTCATTGGACTTAAGTCTGGCATCATGAATAAGGTGATCTGTTTGACCTCTAGGCCTTAGAAGAAGCCTTTTATTATGCTTTTTTGGTTTAGCAACAACATAAATATACATATATCTAAACTTAATATCAAATTCCCTCCACTTCATCTTATAAATCTACTATTAGAGCCACAACATCTATTTTCCCAATCCAAAACTTCTATTAAAGAAAGTTTCAAAAATAATCCATAAGAAGCTTCACATGTAATATCAATGAAAATCCCAAATTTTATTCTTGTAAGTAAATGAGGATCCCACATAAGATGATTTAGAAGAAGTTTAGGTGATTATCTGATGAAGAATTTGAGTATATAATTGATCCTCCCTCGTTTTAATATAATGGGATGCCTGACTATAACTAAGAATGAGATAGATGATAAGAGAAGGAAGAATATTTTTTAGTTTATATATTATGGGTAATAAAACAATGTGGATTAGTTATAAAAATATAAAGTGTAATGAATGACATCTCAATCCACATCATTACTAGAGCCAGTATTATGACCAAACCACACCCATAATCTTTTCATGTTAGTTGAGTTAGTCATATTTCTTTCCCCACTACTAGTAGATACCTAGTTCCTATTAATATTAACAGTTATAAAAATCAAATCTAATAAGGTGTCCTTCCCATGGATATTACTCATATTTTGCTAGGATGACCTTGATTATTTGGCATGAGTGTTACTCATTATGGTAGAAAGAATACTTACATTTTTAAAATAATAACAAAACCATTAAACTCTACTAGTCAAATCTATATAGAAACACTTATTATAGTATATCATAAGATAAGTTGTGCTTTGCAACCTAAATCTATAACAAGGAAATGTACTAATATTCAATTGATTATCTTTAAAAACCCTAATACCATGGATAATATTATTAATTTTTATCGTAATTCAAGTACTTCTATTTACCTAATTTTGTTATCTCACCAATGAAAACTATAGGAAATGGAACTTCTAAAAGGATATTTTCTAATCTAAGTATTCTTCAGTTGCTACATGTAAAAGAAGTAACCCTAAACTTTGATGATACTCACATACCTATTGTGATCTCCCAACTCCATTTTTAGTATAGTTATATTATAGCTAATGTATTTCTTGATGAATTACCCCCTCTTAGAACTATGCACCATGATATTGATTTAGTTCAATCTTTCTAAATTCCTAGCCTTCCTCATTACAGAATGAATCTCAATAAACACACTAAAATTAAAAGACAAGTTGAAGAGTTACTTAGGAAAAAATTAATATAAGAAAATATTACTCCATGTGATGCCCGGCTTTAATAATTTCCAAGAAAAATGAAACATGGAGAATATGTGTTGATAGTTAGACTATAAATAAAATTATTATAACATATAGATTTCTTATTTATTGACTATGCAACATGCTAGAGTTAATATCAGTGAAAAAATTTTTCTCCAAAATTAATCACAACAGTGGTTATCATCAAATTAGGCATTGATCGAGAGAAGAATGAAAAAAATACTTTTAAAACTCTCAATATGCTTTATTAATGGTTGTTCATGCCATTTGGACTCTTAAATGATCCTTGCACATTCATGAGGTTGATGAATACAATTCTTAAGCCCTTTATGGGAAAAGTTTTTTATGTATATTTTGAATACATCTTGATTTTTAGCTCAAGTGAAATAAGCCACATGCAACATCTTAGGAAAGTTTTGGAGACTCTTAGGAAAAAAGTTATACAACAAGTTGAAGAAAATTTTCTTTTTACAAACTAACATAATTTTTTTTATTTATCAATTTCATTACTAGAGTAAAACCTTACCCTGCCAAAGTTGCAACGATCTTATATTGGCGAACACCTAAGAGTTTCAGAGATGTCAAAAAATTAATATCTAAATGTCTAACATATAAATAAAATAGCCACCAAATATGAGTTTGATTAATTTATTGTTTTACTTGTCCCTTATAGGCCTCGTGAAGATATCTTGATGGAGTTTATCTTAGGGTTGCCCGTATAACTCGAGGATATGATAACATTTCTTGTAATAGTTGATAGATTCCCCAAGAACGTCCATTTCCTGCCATGCTCTAAAACTAATGATGTTTGTCATACTATTAAAACATTCTTTAAAAAAAATTATGCACATTTATAGCCTTCCTTCAATTATTGTCTTTGATCATGATATTAAATTTATTTCATATTTTTAAAAGACTATATAAAAATTATTTAGCACCAAATTAAAATTCTCATATGCTTTTCACCCCCAAATTGATGGCTGAAGTAGTAAACTTAATATTAAGAAACCTACTTAGATATCTAGTAAGAAAACAGTTTAGGATGCACAGACTTACATTTGCCCACATAAAAATTTTTATATAATAACAATATATCTAGAAAAATCAAAGTGTTATCTTTTGAAATAATGTACATTTATATTTTGTGTAACATGCGGCTAGAGTATTATCAAATATCTAAGTTTAAGAAATTACATGCAATGACTTATAACCTCTTCAAATTCTTAATAAAATTGAATCTTATGCATATTTTCTTGATTTCTCTATTGATATATGAACCCATCCTGTTATTAATATTGAAGATAATTTATTATATGAGGGACTTAGTAAAATCAACTTGTTCAATTTAACTGTTTAGTTGAAGATAAAATCCTCCATTTACAAAAAAAAAAAAAATTTGGAGATCAATCATATTATCTCTAAGGAAGCATGTACTGATCCAACTGTTGAAATCAAGTTTTAGTTCATTGGAATAATAAACCATCTATTGATGATAAATAGTTTTTTAAAACTTTTATTAACAAGCACTTCTCAACTTCTTGAAATGAACAATAGAATCAAGAACCATTGCACAATTATCTTTATTCATTTCAAATTAGGCTTTATTTGAGACAATTTTCTTACTATTTTTTTTAAATAATTTTCTAATATAAAATTTCTAATGCAACAAAATTTTGAATTAAAAAACTACTTAAGAAAGCAATAAGAAAGTTATTCCAAACGAAGCTTTAATGAAATCTTTATGAGAATCTGAACCAAGAAAATCACGTTCAAAAGCCTTTCATTAAAAGTCGACTCTGCCTACAACTCAAAACTCATCAAATCTAAATTCACCCATCGCCGCAAGCCGCCAAACAAATTCACAAGAACCATATAAAGTGATAGTTTAAGCTTTATCCTCCATAAGAAACTTAATCCCCAAAAGAACTCATGCAGTCGTGACATCCAATAAGGTACAAGCCTAATTCATATGGTAAACCCTTTCTTCCTGCTTGTTAGTACAAAAATTAAAATTTTTTAACTAAAAAACCACTTTAAGAAGCAGGCAAAAAGTCGTCCCAAACGAAACTATGCTACTTTTTAAAACAACTTTTTAATACAAAAATTAAAAATTTTATAATAGACAGCTGCATAAAGAAGTAGTAAGAAAGTTATCTCAAACGAAATCTAACAATATCAAATTCAATGTATATATTCTCTATATCATTACATTATATTCTTAATTCTATAACACTAACTTTGATCTTCACTTATAAATAGGAGATGAAACATGGACATCAAATTTTCATCACAAAAAAAAAAAAAAAAAATCAGACAAAATCATAACATTCTCTCTCAATCTCTCTCATCTTTCACAAACCTGGACATGAAAAAAAAATATTCTTCAATAGACGGGTACTTAATATAACTTCCAGTGGAAGCTAAGTACATTATTAATTAACAACACAAAGGAAGCAAGCTGAAAGGTTCAAATTCAAAGCATCTTGGAAGCTTTTAAACATACATAACTACTCCTACTGATTGGATGACTCGTCCTTTGAGGCTGGTTTCGACTGAACAGCTTCCAGCGTCTTGTAGAACTCTTTAGGAAGCGGTGGCGGTCGGTGCTGAGGAACGTGCTTAGGAATAGGAGTATCATCTTCAATGACTTCGCATTCATAATCATCAGGCACGCCCCATGGATCCCACTCTGCAATCCACGAATAAGATAAAATCAATCTCATCAGTAAGATATATTTATTAGCTTGATAGAAAATGATAATTTGTCATGGTGAACTGATTAAAGCACACGGTATTTTAAACCAATTTGATGACCATAAGATAAAAAAATGCATTTGCTGCATGAAACCTAAGGAAAAACAAAAAAATTTCCACGTATATTTTAGTTTACCAAGAAATATGTCCATCAAAGCTTACTAACAAAAACTCTACTTAGTTTCAAATCACAAATTAAAGTCGTTTAATCCAATTTAGACAACATGAGGGTCATTACATGTGATTTAATATGATCATAATTAGTGTACTATTCTCTTATACTTGTTTTCTTATCGTATCCTAATGTATGTCCATTCATAGGCCTCAAATATCTAATCAATAGCATAGAGTAATCTTTTCATGCTCACTTGCTTGGGGCCCTCCAATGATTGCTTGCCTGTTGCTAGCTAACTTCATTCCAACTATTGGTTTTGTCACTACCCACTGTTTTCTACCCTAGCTTCACTTGCATGTAGGGGTGTCAATTTCAGATCACGGGTCGGATTCCTGTCGAACTCGGAAATGATCTGGGACTATTCGGGGTCAACCAGAACTCGCCCCATTTTTGCAAACTGGTCGGTTTTTCGGACCCGAACCCGACCTACTTTGGGCCCGAGTCAACCCGACACGACCCGAATGACCTGGGGCCGACCAAAAATTGCTATTTTTCGAGTCAAAACGGGTTAATCTTGGGTTTCTGGGTCAAAAACGGATTTTCAGGTCAATTGCGGGTTTTCGGTTCAACCCGAACCCATTTCGATTTTTTAAACGGGTCGATTTGTTGAACCAGTACCCGACCCGTTTCGGGTCAGGGTTGACCCTAACCCGAAATTTTTGGGTCGAGTTCGAGTCGGGTTTTCAGGTCGTGTCAAATATTGACACCCCTACTTGCATGCATGCATATTGCTCACACCTCACCTGCACTTGTTGCACAACCCTGTCATTATGGTTAACCATTGTGCCTTATACAATAGTTTCACTCACTCTTCACTATCCTACTCTTCCACATTATGCAGATGATAATCTGACATCTTTCCTTTAACTGAGTCTCCATCTCTTACTTGGCATTATAACTGACCTTATCTCCTTACATGATGCGAAACCCTACTCTACCTTCGACACCCCTACAAAAAAATATTCAATGGAACCACCCACCTATGTGGTTGAGGGTATTTGATTTCTTAGTGGTTCCAACGAAAAATCATATTATCTTTTAAGCATCAACTCTGGCTCATGATGATAACATTAAATTCTCCAAATTATGCTGTTCTCTCTTGGTTTTTAAATAGTCTCCAACCTTATATTGCCTTTACAATCATGTTTCATAAAATTATTGAGGCTATGTGAAATTTTCTCAACTCCACTTATTTTAAAAAAAGTATCATTTCTAGGGTCTATATATTTTGTGCTCTAACATATTTTCTCTTTAGCAAAAGAATCTATATATTTTGGATTATTAGAATACCTTCTAGGGTACATAGGATGAGTTACTTCACTGCAATCCATTTACCATTGATCTCAAGGCTTACCATTGGAAATTTTGCATGCTCATAATTGACTGTGAAAGTTGCACAATTGTGATGCCTAGAATTTCCTTTAATCATATGAAGTTGAAATCAGAATAAAATTCACAATTATAAAAGGTAGTCTGGATTGATAAATTGTTATTTTTGTAGCCTAAGTATTTACAGTTTTGATTCAGTTGACCACATGTATTGATAGAATCTATAAAAATGTATTATTTATAAGCATAGCTCCTGTTATTTTGGCTAAGCATTGGATGTTACTCATTTTTAAAGGTCAAATACTATGCCTTTAAGATTGATGAGAGAAGGATGATAAGCATGAAGGGGGTAGAGATAAGTTAGTGACATATGCTTGTATTGTCGTAATAATTAACTAGAGAGGAAGGGTAAAAGAATTTGCGATGGAACTAATTTCATCATAAATTCATCTAAAACCCACTTGCTCATTTCTATTCGTGCTCCCTAATTCAACCCCAACCAGCATTGCACTCTGACTCCAACTTCCTCCCTTATCACTTGTGTTGCCCCTCGATCACATCACCGGTCCTCTTTTTTTGATACCATCAACCGGTTTGTTTGAGTGCTCATGTTTATCTTCCGTCAGTCAATCTCATAATAGATAAGTTGAACTTCAGCAAATGTGCCGCATATATCATCACAAGGTCTCCCAGATCACCAACAACTCACAAATATCCCTTCATTCACGAACAACTACACAATAGATTCCCCCCATCGCGATATAGATTTAAGATGAGGACAGTCCACTATTTCAGTAATGACCATTTTTTTAGCTAATCGATTCAACTTAGAAATTGGGATCAATTGGAGCAATATTATTTACGCAGCACAACATAGCTAGAGAAGAATCACATAGATTTAAAAAGCATAAATTCATGAAACTGCCAAGGAAAATGACTAAGGATGACATAAAAACGTACGTTGTGTGCACTACACATGATATTACATATAACGAACATCATTGAAACCAACAAAATTATTTTATTACAATGAAAAATAATTATAATCAGAATGCCAAATTCTTTCTTGATCATTAATGATGAAAAACTTAATTGTTGACTGAAATGGCCTCCTATCTGCTTAGCCTTTTGTTTTCAATAATTCTAATGGGAAATCAGCTCCGATAAATGTATAGGAAATCATAGTTCAAAACCAAACTCTATATGATATTAATATAATGATGCAAAGCTGGTAGGGCGCACAGCCTATTTTAGGCTTGCCGCCCAAGGTGGGGTCCACTAGTGAATTTAAATTCTAAATTAAATACATATATGGAAGGTGGGAAATTTAAATTCTAAGTTAAATATTTGTATGGAAGGTGAGAGGGGCGGTTATGGGGCTAGGAAGGCTTATAAATAGAGATGAGGGGGGAAGGGTGAAGGCATTCTTAGTTTGGTGTTCTCTTGGAGTTGTGGGCTCTAGACTTTGTGTCTAGAGATTGGGAGAGAACGATCCTCCTCTCGAATAGAGGATCAATTGTATTTTTTTTTCCTAGCTTATTTTGCTTTGAGTATTCAATAAAGTTCTATTATTTTCTTAGCCGTTTCATCTCCAATCTTGGATATTCTCGCTGTTTTTACCAATTTTGTATTAGTGTTGCTTGCGAACTCAAGTAAATCCGATAGGATTACTTGTGAACTCAAGTATTTCCTATCAATAACATCATTGAAATATAAAGTTTTTTTTTTTTTTTTTGGTTTTAATGGTATATCTTATTAAAGTCAGATTCTAAATATCATCAAGATTCTTTACGCATGATCAATTTAACAACTTTAAATAATATGATAATAGTGTCAAGATATCTCTTTTATTCTACATCTATCTGAAAGCTTGATAAACACACATCAACAATAGTACCAAGTGTGGTTAAACTTGATCATATTGAATAAATTGTAATTTGTGATGAATCAAATGAAAAAAAAAAATTATAGTAACAAAAGAATTCTACATCAAGTGTAGAATTTGAAATTAATTATGATATGCATCACAGTTTGCATTAGACTTAGTAATGCACATGAACCTAAAATTAAATAAAATTCAAAACCAGGATTTGAAATTAAATCTGAATGAGTATCTTAACTTCAACTTAAAAATCTAAATCTATCCCTGTTTTGAAGCTGAATAAATCATATCTATATAAGTTGTCAAATCAATTTAGTAATACAACATTATAACTCATAAGAATTTATACGCTAATATTATCCTCAAGTCGAGGAACCAAATAGATAATTTGATCTATTTGGCCCTTGGTTTCATATTCCATAAATAAATTAAAAAGAACTAGTCGAGCATGTTGGTTAAATCTATATTTCCTTGACTATATTCGTGAAAAGTACTTTAAAAAAGACTTAAAATTCAAAACTCGGCTTATCCAACTGATTTCAAAAGTAAAAAAACTCATTATGTTCAAGTTTTAAACCAATTGGGTTAATTCTCTATGAAGAAACTACTTATTCATATGATATACACAACATATTAGTGTGTTTTAACAATTATTAGATGAAAAATATTGATTAGAATTTTATTTCAATTTTCCCTTGGAATAATCTAATGTACCAATTAGAATTCATATAAATAATTTTTCTATTGCCTTACATGCAGCATATCCTATTGAACTGCCTATTATTCATATACATGATTTGCATAAAAATATTTGTTAGAAGCTTCATATTAATTCTAAAAATTATAAATATAATGCAAATGTTAATAACGAATAGTTGAAATTCAAAAGAGTTCATATAGTCCTTGTCCATTTAAATCAAAAAAATATTTCCCCCGACTCTAAAATAGAAGAATATATACAACATACTTGGAGAAATGCAAAATATAATAATCTAAAAAAATTAGTATCAGTCTCATTTTCAAATGAAGGTAATATAGCTTTAGGAACCATCAACCATTGTCTTGAAATTTTTTTTTTTTCATCTCTTCTTTGTAATTCATGCATTTTTTAAATAGACACACAAGAGTCTAGAGCTATTATTTATATGTTTAAATCATGTTCACCGCTACAACAACAACATCAAATCTTTATCCTACTACATGAGTGTGTCCACCACTAAAAGTAAAAATTGTATGAAGCAGAAACACAAACCTAAAAATTGATTCATAAATATCTTTACAGAAAATCAAATAACTATGGCCAAATCTATTGGAAGAATATCAAAATAACCACTCATTGAAGCCAAAATTTTTAAAGCAAAAATAGGCATAGGGCCTACGCTATTCTTGTAGTACGTATCCTATTCTTGTGGCTACATCCATAATTTTATAAGATACCTGCAACTTTAATGTTATTTACAAGGGCTGTCTGTGGCAACTGGCTAAAGTGTGTTATGTGTGCGCAGCTTTTCTTATGAGTGTGATGCTCAATTGACCTTTGACTACTCTTCATACAGTTTTAACTTTTCATCTATTTATATATATTGTTTAATGTTTATATTTCTTTGTAAAGCTCATCTTCAATTGTTCCAATAGTTTCTCCCGACAGCTTATCCTATCAACTAAAATGGCAAGGTTTCTAGCTTCTTTATGAAACTATTGTTCGGTGGCTTCTTCTCCAATGGCTTCTAAGGCAATGCCATAACTATCCTATTAGGTTTATATGATGTTTACAATAAAGCATTTTGAAACATGTAAAAAAAAACATTTATTTAGTTTAATAAAACTTGCTTTTAGATATGCAAACCACTCTTCTTATTTCAGGAAATTTAATCAGTAATCAAGTGTGAGAAGAAGTAATCTGTTCACGCATGAGAGATTGCCCATCCATTATTTCATTCTCTTTACTCTTCCCTCTGTCTCTTTCTTCATCTTGTCTTATTCAACTTATCAGGCTTGACTAGTTGTATATCTCATCTAAAGCCTGTTGGACACAATAATAATAGTATCAACCATGTTCAAACTATATCAGGTTGAAGAAATTGTCATTCGCGAATATTCTTCAAATAAATTTTTTGATGTGAAAAAAGATTTATAGTTCCAAAAGGATTCTACATCTGATATTTATTTGAAACTATATCTCAATATGCAAAGTATTTAATATATGTTAAAACTATTGTCACCTTTTGGTTTTACATCCAATAGATCTATTGTGCATTTTTTTAAATGGTTATCCAAATCTAGTTCCTGAAGTCATTATTGATGATCAAATTGCATCCATCAATAATAGCAAAAACTAAAGGAATATTGTGAATTGGAAATACAACCCACACCACAGAAATCAAACAAATATGCACAGATCTAATGAAAGAATATCAACATAACGATTTGTTGAAGCCAAAATTTTGTAAGTCTAGAAAAATTGCTATGGTTTCTAAAACATTCATGCAGTGCCTATCCTATTCATGCAATTATATCCCTATTTTTATGAGATACTTGCTGCTCTAACACTATTTCCAAGAGTTCTTAGATAAAATGTGCAGCTTTTCTTTGTGGGTTTGCTCAATCATCGTTCCTTCAGTTGAATTCTTTTTGTGAGTGCCCCTACAATTTCTCACTACAGCTTATATTATCAACTATTCCAATTAGGGGTTGCAACTTCCTTATACAACTATTATTCTACTATTTCTCCTCATATGACTTCACCAAAAAATTGCTACCCCTATCCTACCTCGTTATCATATAATTTAAAACTAAGAATTTTAAGATATGTACGAGAATAATATTTAGTTTGAATTAAATTTTCTTTGGATGTACAAACCATTTGATCCAGACGACTCAAAGTTTTGGTTCACTAATGCAATTAATATGTGCAAGTGTAAATACATCAAGAGAAAATGAGGATTCACAAATCACAAGCCCCAAATATTTCAACCACTTGGTATTTTTTGAAAAATAAATAGACAATACTTGAATTAATACCAAACCAAAAACAAAATGATCAAAATAATCTAATAAATTCAACGGGGATTTAGAATTATATTAAATTAGTGAGCTATTGTAATTTATTTTGGTTGGGTATTAATTGAATTTATGCACCAAATGAAAAAAAAAACAAATCAAGAGCGCTAAGCAAGCCAATGTCAAATTATGTAGAAGAAATAAAAACAAAATAAGAAAAATCAAACCTCATGCTATACAATAAGATGATTTCACTTGAAATTAAGTAGTATAAATAGTACCACATGAGAAGATCTGTCATCCAACTTGCACTCACAAGATTTAAAATTGGAGAGAAATTTTTTATTTAGCAAAAAAAAAAAATCAATCACATTCCTCCTCAAAACATCAATTTGTTGAATCTCCGAGCCCCCCACCCTTCTTATGATTTATTTAAAATCAACCTAACATAATTCTAGATAATCCCAAAATTCCTAATAGTAGACATAAAATCAATGACAAATTAGATCTAAAAATCCCATAACTTCAACATTGTACCATAAAACCACCACACAACACAAATAGAAAAATTCATGCACAAAGACCACAAATCTAACATTGTAGCAAACCCAAACTCCCCACAACTCAAACGCACACAACTGTACAAAAAACCCAACAATAGCTTGGACTTAGCTATAGCATTACATTAACATTTTGCTTATTTTGGGATTTGTAGTCCTTGACAAAGTATGAGACTTGAAGACTCTAAGAGAAACGATCTCCTTTTTTTAACAAGAGTTCTTTCTTATATGTTAGTTCTTTCCCTCTTTTCCTTTTGTTCTCAAATCCATTATAATATCATCTTTTGTTTATTATTTTTCACTTATTACATCTCTCACATAAAACATGTTAAACACACAAGTATCAAGTTAAGTTCAAATTGATGATATTGAAGTCATTGTAATTCACAAGTTCTCTTAAAATGACGTATGTGAAAAAAGATGTATAATTACACACGTATTTCGCATCTAATGTTGCACTTGAAACTATATTTGAACATGCACTACATTCTACATAGTTTTCGTACCTCTATTCAATTATTTGTAAGGAGAATTGTACAGTTCATAGAGTACAATGAATGCCCAATAATTGAATCATAGACAAAGATTTTGAGATGAGGCATGGTGGATAATGGTACTGATTCCAATCGAAGAGAATAATGTGAATAATAAAGCCTCATTGTTACCTACCATTAAATGTGAGCCCTTATCATGATCATAATCATCATGAATATAAATAAACTTTTTACTTGCTTCATGTAAGGAAACACGCACAAAAATCTCAAGGAGAGGAAAGATAGAAATAAACCATCTCCATCCTTTCATTATTCCTCATACTAATGCTTCAAAGCCCCTACAACACACTGCATCCAAGCATAGAGGTCTTTCTTGTAAGATGTGTTGGTGCTGAGGCTTGGTTCTTTAGTCTTAAGTTCACCATTATCAATGTATCATCATTAGTGAAGCTCTATATATCAATGTGGTTATTATTGCACACTTTGATCAAATGGTCCTCCTATCTCTTCGAAATGTTAACTATAATATTCCTAATCTTTTGGCCTTTCTTGGCCTCTATTGGTCATTCGATGTTACCAATAATGTTGCCAATTCATTCTATTTGCTGTGAAGGGCCTTCATTAATTACAAGACTTTCTTCCCTTCTTCAGAGCCTGTACTATATTTTCCATAGATCCATGGTCATAGAGCCATTCGTTGTTGAAATTAGTGGCTAAAAATTTATTTTCCCTTTATAGAAATGTATTTAACCTAAGTTTCATTCCATGTTCTCTGTTGTTCTAATGATTTGAAGAATAGAGTAAGGGCTAACTGGTCAAGGGATGAGGATACTCTATCAAAAATCTTGGGAGATGCTAGTTTTATTTGCTTTATCTTGATTTTACCAAAAAAAAAATTAAAATTTGCTATCATTTTTCTGGTCTCTATATAATTGATTTTGCAGCAATTATGGGTCAAATAAAGGTAAAACTACCATGTATTGATTTCTTTGCATGCATAATCATGTACACTTATACTTGTCAATTTAGTTATTCTGTATTTCACATATACTTTTTTATCATGCAAGCCAAATCAAATATGTGGCATAGCTCCATCACAATTTTGCTGATTCAGATGAGCATATATAATGTTAGAGATAGATAGCTAGTTTTTTCATGTTTGCACAATTTTATTTACAGGGATTTACATACATACCACTTAATTCTTATATATTCACACATCTAATATTTAAACTTAGATATTTATTTATATGACACTTTACTATCTCAATCAAATTTAAACATATGCATGAAAAAAATGCATTTCACTTTAGAAAGGTTGATAATAGTTATATTTTTTATGTGATTTAATGACTTGGGTGCTTTGTAAGTAAATATCAAATTTTAGATGTTAGATATGTAAATACATATATAAGAATTGTGTAGTATGTATTTATCTTGACATAAATATTATGGCCAAGACTTTATATGTGTCGTATGTTACGTTTCTATTTTTCACATCTATTGATTTCAATGAACTTCACATTTTGTTGAGTTTTGGTGCGCTTAGGAAATTCGTTGGCATTTAACCGTAGGCTTGGGCATGTTCTTCAAACTACCAAATCCATTACTTCAGCAAATTTTGACTTTGAAGCGCATTCACTTCAAAAAATCAAATCAAGGAAAAATCAAGAGAATTATAAATCTAAAGTTTCAGTGAAAAACATTGTCTTTAAATGAAAGAATATACTGTAGGAACTCTAGATATAGGCCAATTTCTACTTTCGTAAATGAACAGGTACCAAGTCATCATCTTTTCACTGCCCTGCCCAAGAAGAAAAACAAACGAAACAAGCAGAGTCGTAGAAAACACGGGCTTCCACAGGAATGATGTCTCAAATCAACCAACTAATCCCTCGATCGGAGAAAAAAGGACAACAAAGGAATCTCCGTGTTACCAATCACCACAAAATTTAAACAACGCTGAACCCTAAAGATGAAAATGAACAAACTCACATCCAAGAAAATGAAAGAAAACAATAGAGCAAGAAGACCGACCGATCATCTTGGCGATGAGCTTGAGCTCGTCCTGGGCCTCTTCAATAAGCTCCTCCACCTGTCCGCATCCGATACGCTTCTCGATCGCCTCCCAGTCCTCCTCCTCCTGGCAGACCTGAAGCCGGTGGCTGGTGAAGCTTTCGACGGCCTTACGGTACCCTTCGTCTTCCGGCACGGCTTCGATCTCCTTCAGCGTCCGCGTGTACAGCGATATCAACACCTCTCGCGCGTTCGGCACAACCTCGAGGCCCACGACTCCCGTCGTCTCCTTCACCTTCGCCATCAACAAAGACCCCATTCCCCCCGTCAGGAACCGCCGCAGGAACATCTTGCCTTCTTCCCTTACTCTCTCGCGTTCGCTACCACCAGCAGTTCGCACTAAAACCAAGTCTCCATTGCTCAGAAATGAGGCGGACCAAAGCTATACAGCACGTGGAGCAAGAGGGACGGTCGGATCGAGATCCAGCAGTGAATGCATCGGGCCGTAGGTAAAGCAGGTACATGAGCGCACGATGTTACGTTGATGGAGTGGAATGAGGGCTGAGGGTGTAATGTGTAAACTATTTGAGTCTAGTTTAGTTCGGCTCACCTTTAAATTTTGTGGTGTAGGTGTCATGATGCAAAAGTCTCCTTCTGACTATCACTGATATCTCTATTATTTTATCATGTTGATTAATCTTTAACTATATGCTGCTCTGGAACCTATAGTCCTCCGTCCTTCCATCTGTCTAGATTGTCTTGCAACATAATCAGTCATTCCTCTAAATTCCCTTTGAGGACAATCTGCTACCTTATGTCCATGTTGTCTTCAGTGAAAACATCATCCATTCAACGGGTAGCACTTCCTAGAATGTCGTCGACTATAATGAATGTACTCATCACAGCTGTCAGTAGATGCTACCGATGTAGATTTTCTTGAATCACTATATATGCCTCTCTTGTCAGTATATCTTTCTCTGTTTGGTTCATCTCTACACCTTCTCCTGCTAACATCATACCTAGAGCTCACCTCATAGCTGGATGCTGGTGTTGCAATCAATTTCAATCAATCTTGTCCGCTCCACTAACTCAGAAAACTTCTAGATCTGTAAAGGCACTAATGGATGTTGAGCTCCCTATTCAACCCTTGCAGAAACATGTAGCATTTTTCTTTAGTAGTAGGGATCAATAAGGATCATTAGGGCTATCAAAAGCGAGTTTTGGGCCTGGTTCAGGTTGAACTTGAATCTGACCCGACACTTTTTAACACAACATGTTTTTGCAAAAGTGTTGGTTTTTCGGACCCGAACCCAACCCGCTTCTTTTGTTTTTACTAAAATATTTTTTATTTAAATTGTTTACTTAAAGTTTTCATACCGACTTGTCCAAGCACATGCTTAATTCAGTTTATATATATATATATATATATATATATATTGGCATGAAATGTCTTAAGCTAAATCGAATGAAGGTAAGATTTACTTCAATCAATTTAGAATAAACCAAGCTTAATTCAGTTTGGGCAACATGGTTTTTTTTTTTTTTTAATATCGTATACTTATTTGTATACTTATTTCATAACAATCTTCTAAATCAATTAAAAATGAGTAAAACCATGTTGATTTTAGGTTTTCAGGTCAACCCGAATCCAACCCGATTTTACAAACAAGTCGAAATTCCTAACTCGAAATTTTCTGGTCAAGTTTCTGGGTTGTGCCAAATATTGACACCCCTAAGGCTCATACCTAGCAAGAGCAGTAAACTCGACCTCATATTACATCACTTTCTTGTGTCTTTGCTCCAACTTAATGAAAGCTTCCTACATTTATTGTCAGGCTGATGGAGGTATAAATCATATTCTGAATACAATAGTAAATTCATCCCAAATGATCTCAGCATTAGTCTTCATTTGGAATTTCTCTATTTGTTGTCCAATCCATCATCTCTCTGTCTCTTCTTCAAATAAGAACATAGCTAATGATATCTTCCGACTCTCTGGACATTACATTTTGTCAAAGATCTTTTCTATCCTCAGTAACCAGTCTTCTGTATCTTATGGTCCTATCACCTATGAACAACAAAGGTTTTAACATAAGGAATGTTTATAACTGCTTATCTCCCTCTTCTGCTTTATTCCCAGTTGATTTACTATGTGTATCTCCCATTACTTGTGTTATAACAATGCCCAAGTGCATAACACTATCTGATGGCTCTAGAGATGCATTGTGTTGCTCATTTGGTATATTTGACTCTAGCAAATTCATGAATTTCTACTGGTAATTCACACAAGATTTTGCCTCGAGATTCATGCCCAATCAAGATAATTTTTTTGATGATATACCAATATAAAAAAAAAAAACTCTGGCACTAATACCATTTGTAGGATTTATAATATATAATATATCAATATGAAAATAAAAAAAATGAGATATAGAAAATTAAACTGAGACTTTCTCAATATTAATTTATGTAAAAAAGTTATTAAGAGGATATTGTAATAATTATTCAAAGAAGAAAAAAAAATATTACTTTTTTTTAGGAAAATTAAGGGCAAACATGTCCAATTTTCATTAAAGAATAAAAAGATTACAAAATCAAAAGGAAGTAAGAAAAACTTACAACCCAATGAAAAGAAAAAAAATAATAAGAAGAAGAACTAACCACCCAACCCAAAAACTAAAGTTACAAAACATAGTAGCTAAGAAAAAAAAAATAGCATAAAAACTACTAAATACAATAAACCACCCTTCATAAAGAAGAGCCAAAATGAGCACAACAGCAACCTAGTCCAAAGACAGAAACTACAAAAAATAGCTGCATCAAAAGTAATCCTCCAACCAACAACTGCAGCAACATCAACCCGCAATAACAGAAGTAACAACAACCACTAAAACATTATGAAGCAATAAGAGAGAATGAGCCTTCCAGCAAAAAGCCCCAGCCATAAAAGTCCAATGTCTGAAGACAAAACCACAAAAAACTACCACCAACAAACATCAACAGCAACAAGAACCACACTCTGAATCCATAAGATCCACGAAAACCTGCCAATAAAACAACCAGCAGCCAACAAAAATAAAAATGGGGGAACAAAACAAAAAACAAAAAAAACAAAAAAAAGATATTAATGTCCATCTAGATTAAAAATCGGTTGCCAATAATAGTCATAAACAACAACAAATAAAAAGGAATAAACTAGAGAAAATATAACAAAAGCTAGAATTAATAGTAAAACAGACAACCCTTAACAAAGAAGTGCCAAAAGAAAGCAACACAACAGCAGCCTAGTCCAAAGACAAAAATAAAAAAGTAGAAGCAGCATCAACAACAAACCTCCAACCAGCAACTGCAGCAACAACAACCCACAGTAACAGGAATAACAGCAAACATAAAAACAAACTGAAGCAATAAGAGATAACATGCCTGCCAAAAAATACTCAACCATCAAAATCCAGTGTCAGAAAGACAAATCCATAGACAGCTACCTCCAACAAGCAACAACAGCAACAAGAACCACAAATAGAATCCACAATATCCACTAAACCTGCCAACAAAACAACCAGCAGCCAACAGAAATGAAAATAGAGTAACAAAAACAAGCTTTTAATGCTCATCCAGATTAAAAAATTGGTTAACAAGAATAGCCACAAACAAAAGCAACAAGCAATAATAAAAGAACAAACTGAAAAAAATAAAAGACAAGCTAAAAATTCCTACCATAACTTAAATCAGAAGCCAAAAAATAAACAAACTAACCAATTAGATAATGAACTTAGAAATCTCAGTAAAAATTTTCCAAACCGAAATTTTAGCAAAAATCACCTTACTAATAAGACTAGAAACAGAATCCGAATTCTTACAAATCCCAGAAAATCTCATATCATTCATTTCACACCAAATGAAATATAAACAGCAACAAGTAGTTAACAAATAATAATATCTAATATTACAAGGAATACTAAGCACCACAATAAAATCAAAATTTGAAAAAGATTAGGTTTAAGAAAAAAATGCTTAAGACTAGGAATAAAAGAAGAAATAATGGAAAAAGAGAACTTACAATCAAAAAATAAATAATTATGAGATTCTAAATTAGAATTACACAAAATACAAATAAAAGGAATATAAATATTTCTATTAGAAAGAATATCAATAGTTTTAAGCCTATATAATAAATCCATCCAAACATAACAGGAGTACGTCAAGGCATATCATTTATGCCAAATATATTTATATTATGAGAATTTAACAAACCCCTGAAATTAAGCCATATAAAAATTCTTAAATTTTGGATAGAGCTCATCCTCCCATTTAAGACAAGAGATAGAAGTGCTTAAAATATCAATAAAGACATTCAAAAACTACGGGCTAAGCGGTAAAGACCAGTTGTCATCTAAGATAACATCCTTCACAGAAATATTATGCCAATAAGAATTAAGACTCGGAACTAAATCTTGAATCGAAAAGCCTTCCAACCAATGATCACAATAGAAGGATAAATTGCTATCAGCCGTGATAACAAATGAGAGTTTATCCTTAATAGAATAAGCAAGCTTACAAAGATCTTTCTAGAAGCTAGAAGCTTTATAAGAAAGCATCTTCCACAAAGAAATATAATTATCTTTAACCCAAAAAGACAAAAAGGATTTTAGAATTTAAAATTCTCCGAATAAGAGAGCAATTATAAGCGTAATAAAGAGCATTAAGATCCGGTATACCTAACTCTCCATAGCATTTCGGCTTACACACATCTTTCAAGCAATAAGATGCATTTTCTTGGAATGAATATTGCCATGAAAGAGAAAATTAGAACAACTTTTTCAAATAAACTTGAGACAATATTTAGGCAGAATCATGCCTCTAATCCAATAAGTAATAAAATTAGTAATAGAAAACTTGAGAAATCACACTCTACCCGCAAAAGAAAGAGTTGATGAACACTATATCTTTTGAATTCAATTTATATTCTCAACATAATCTTATTCGCAGAATTAGAAAAAACGTAGGGAATGATTATCTCCTTCAATTAAAAAAAAATAGTAAACCAACTGTTTGTAAGAAAAGTTTAAATTTTTCAGACTTTTAGTTTTTTTTTTTTTTTTTTTTTTTTGACATTTATGTTAATTAAGACAAATTCATACACACATCACATACATAAGATTCAAATTCAAGACTTCTTGGTTGGAAGCCAAAGCTCATAACTAACATATTTAGATGAGCTGCATAAGAGACCTTTCATTAAAAACCTTTTTTGTATTAAAAGATGCTTTTTGACTCCTTTTCGTTTGTTAGTTTCTTTTAATTAAAACCTATTTCATTTAGATATAAAAACTAAAATATGTAATGTTTTGAAACAATACAGAACATTTCAAATAGACAGATCATTTCATAAAGCTTCTTTTTATATTAAACATGTGTGCTAAAAACTTTTTGTTAATTAATCTCTATTAACAAAAACTAGTTTTAATTTGAGATAAAAGGTTTGTAAAATATAAACAAAAAGTGTTTATATAACATAAAAAATTTTATGTTATAAACTGAATCATAATTTAATATTTATATTATATTATATTTTTAACAATAGTGTTCAATTAATTTGTAAAAAATATAAGTTTAATGTGTTTTAGTACAAAGGTGATGAAAAATGGACATATGGATCTGTAATTCAAGCTCCACTAAATTTAATTTAAAGGTATTAAATATGAAATTGTACCTTTAAATTTATAATACAATTTACTCAATTTAAAATATCGAATCATGTATTTATTTAATCCTTTATAAAAAGTATATAATTAGAGTTAGGTAATTATATCACATCTCTAACTACCTCTTTCACCTTGACTTTTAATTGATTCTCTAATGAATAATAAATTTTATGATTTTCTCATAAAATTTGAGAATTTTATTATTCAAGTTATGAATTAATTAATCACGGGAACTAATTTTTCAACTTTCAAAATTAAAAGGAATTGATTTCATATATGTATATTAAACATTCAGAGCCATTTGTTTTATTATGTTTCTAAGATATAATAATTGAGTTTTATATCTTCCAAATTATTTTCAAATAAGGGGAAATTTGGTTTGTTGTAAAAGGGGTGTAAACTATACGGTATTCTAAATACAAGGGTTTTGAAAATGTTGGCGTCTGGTTTGAAGTAAAAAGAATGCAGAGTAAAATTTGGTAGTAAAATGAATTCATCCTCTAGTTTAAATTCAGTGTATTTGAAATTTCATCTATTAAGACGATTTCCAAATATACTGGAAACTCATCGCCATTGCCACCGCTGGCCGCCACCTCTTCCACAGCTAGCTGGCCATCGTCAGCCACCATTGACCATAATTGGCCACCACTGGTCACTGTCAAGCACCACCGGCCAACCCCAACCACCGTCGGCTTCCACCAACCACCATCATTTTGAACTTTACACTGTATTTACTTCACTTCAAGCCAAATAAAAAAGAAGTATAAACCTATAACAATTCCAAAGTATTTCAAATACACTACATTCCTTTTAGACTGCATTACTTTTTCAGCCAATCAAATAGCCACTAAGTCAAGAAACCATATCTTACAAATAGAAGCTTATTAATAACTCAATATTAAGACTAAGATGATGAATTTTGAAGTCTCCCTATTAGAGATTGAATTTACTAGAGAATTCACAATTTATCTAATTCATTCTTATATAATCATATTATATAAAATACCTCAAATTTTGATCTCTCTCTATTGAATAATCTAAACAAGACAATTCCTTTCATAGTATTGATGGACAATATTAATAATATTTCATTATAGATTCTAACTATAATTAACAATTATAAATTAGTTAAAATTCTATTCATAATTCAATCCTACTATATAAAATTACATAATGAATTATGGTTAAATAAATATGATAATAAAATATATATCAAATAATAATATCTGTATGTCCTAAATCTTATCTTTAAAATTTTAATTTAATAAAAAAATATGTTATAATAATATTACTTTAGAGCATACTCGCTAATAATAAGATCACAATTAGAGCAAGAGAGAGTCCAAGATTTAAAAAGGTCTGTATTAGTCACAGAGGTAATCTAAAGCCTACATGCATTTCTAACTAGTGACAATGACAATAAAAAAAAATTGATATTTCTATTCTTGTAGTATTATGTGACAAACTGAAAAATTGTTATATTTATCTGTAGTATAAAAATTTTAGCACCTAATACTGGTCTAAATAGTTAGGCTTTGTTTGGGACGGCTTTTTTACTGCTTTTTGAAGCAGCTTTTTAGTACAAAATTTTAAAATTTTGTACTAAAACTGTTTTAAGAAGCATTAAAAAAGCCATCCCAAACAAAGCCTTAAACTTCATTTGAAACAGCTTTCTTATTGTTTTCTAAATTAAATTTATAATACAAAAAATATATAATTCAAAAAAAATTTATACTAAAAAGAAATAAAATAGTAAAAAACCGTCCCACATGAAACTTTAGTCTTCATTTAAGACAACTTTCTTATTATTTTTTAAAATAACTTTCTAATACAAAAAATTTTTATACTAAAAATTTATTTTAAACATTAAAAGAGCCGTCCGAAATGAAGCCTCAACCTTCTTAATTCTTTAACAAATATTCTAACTCATCCAATAATTCTTTATCCTTTTCTTCAAATCTTCTAAGTCCCTTGTGCCGTTCACAGAAAATCTCAAGAACCGCTGAAAAACTTTGAGCCTTGTAAATCTACATCGATTTCTCAAATTCAACAGCAAAGAAATTCTGGAAGGCCAAAACTGCAACTCACTCATGCCACTGCCTACATATCCCTGCAAATAAAGCAATCGTTTCCTTCCACTGGCACTACTTTTGCCCCAAGAAATGAAAAGTTCTGAAGAACAAACAAAGTAGAAAAGTCATAACCAATTCATTTTTACTTGTAAACCAGGCATTACAGTTACACAAGTCACACAAATAGGCTCTCCCCCTATTTTCTCCATTCCTTTAAGAAACAAATGATATATAAAGCTCAGTATGGAAGTGTTTAAAATTCAGCAGAAGATGGCTGTGATCTTCACTATCTCTCTCTTGATCCTTGGCGCAATAGCAAGAGTAGGGAGAGGAGAAGGCCTGGGAGCTTGCTTCATCTTCGGCGACTCCCTTGTCGACTCTGGTAATAATAACTATTTACCGACATTGTCGAAGGCGAATATTCAGCCTAATGGCATCGACTTCAAGCCATCAAACGGGCAGCCCACTGGTCGGTACACTAATGGAAGGACCATCGCCGATATCATCAGTTCGTCTTCCCTTCTCTCTTCCTCTTTGCACGACAAAATAAGCACTACTGAATCTCTGTATGATATTTGATCTTTTTTTTTTTTCAAACTTCTTTCAGGTGAAGAGTTGGGACAACCAAACTATTCACCACCATTTCTAGCTCCAAATACCAAGGGCTCGGCCATTCTGCATGGAGTGAACTATGCATCTGGAGGAGGAGGAATTATGAACCAAACTGGAGGAATATTTGTATGTGACAAGCTATACTTCATATCTTTCTCTGATCTTTAACATAGAAAATTATCAGAAAATTTTAAAGAGAAAATATCATGAAGGGAGAAATTTCTTGTTGTTCCACACATTTGAACCTCATATCTGTTTGGCAATCAATTTCAAAATTTAACTATAGAGTTCTTAATGCCAAAATGTTGAAAATAACTAATTTAGGCTTCGTTTGGGACGGCTTTCTTGTTGCTAGTATAAAAATTAAAAATTTTGTATTAATAAGCTACTTTAAGAAGCAGAAAGAAAGCTGTCCCAAACAAAACCTTAATCATTGCCTATTCCAAAATATTACAAATTACAAGCAATAATATTCCACAAGCTTTGTTAACTTTTGCTTATAAACTGTTGCAGATCAATAGACTTGGAATGGACATCCAAATAGATTATTTTAACATCACCAGGCAACAATTTGATGGATTACTGGGAAAGGAGAAAGCAAAAGAGCACATAATGAAGAAGTCTATCTTCTCAATCACCATAGGAGCTAATGATTTCCTCAACAACTACCTTCTTCCAGTTGTTTCTGTTGGGCAAAGGATCTTAGAAACACCTGACATGTTTGTTGATAATCTTATCAGAAATCTAAGAATGCAGCTTTCGGTATATCAGTTTCTTTTATTATTATTAATCTATTATCTTATTTGTTTTAATGACAAATTGTATGATTTTAATGGCAGAGGCTCTACTCACTTGATGCAAGGAAGTTTGTTGTAGGCAATGTTGGGCCAATAGGCTGCATTCCTTACCAGAAAACGATTAACCAAGTCGGCTCGACTGAATGTGTTGAGTTGCCAAATCAGCTAGCTCTAAAATACAATGCTCGTTTGAAGGATTTGCTAATAGAACTAAATGAGAACCTTCCTGGAGCCACAATACTTCATGCAAATGTCTATGACTTAGTGTTGGAGCTGATCAATAACTACCAATCATATGGTAAGAACGGAGGTTGTTAAGTTTTTATAATCCAATCTCGAGTCGATTGGGTCCTTTCATAATCTCAAAGTAATTCAACTTATTTGCACATAGATAGTCATGTATATAGGGTGGTTCATAGGAAAAACATTGCATAAAGATATCTTGGTGTGTTTTATGCATGAATTGGCTTCAAAAAGTTCTTGAATTTGTACTGAGATTAATGCAATTTATGATATTATAGGTAAACACTAATCTCAATGCAAATTTAATGGCTCGCTCTAAAGTTCATCCTAACATATATAAAATGCATCAAGATATATCTACTCACTTTATTTTCCAGGCTAATATTTAAATTAAATAATATAACTTTGCTAGTAAATATTACAAATAGATACAAATAATAATTATTTATATTTTATAAAATAAACAACTTGGTTCAAATCAACTTCAAAGTCGGCCCAAAGCTGGTCCTTTTAAACTCAGGCTTCATTTGGGACCGCTTTTTTGATGCTTCGCTTTCTAGTAAAAAAAATTAATTTTTGTACTAAAAAACTACTTTAAGAAGCAATAAAAAAACCATCCCAAACGAAACCTCAATAACTCGGCTTGAGGCAGATTAGAATAAAATTAACTGACATTACTAGCCTCTATTCATTTCAATTTAAATTCAATCCAATTTTTTACAAATCTTCAAGTTAAATTCACAATCTTATAAACAGTGCTTCTTCTCTTTTGCATCAAATATTCTTTCATGTGATCAATATTATGTGGCTGATAAAATTTTCCATAGGTTTCAAGAGTTCAAGTTCTGCTTGCTGCAGCAATGGACCAATGACTGGAATAGTACCATGCGGGCCTACTTCTCTCATGTGTGGGGATCGCTCAAAATACTTATTTTGGGATCCATATCATCCTAGTGAAGCTGCTAATGTTATAGTTGCTAAGTATTTGCTTGACGGAGATACCCAATACATATTTCCTATAAACCTTAGGCAGCTCAAGGAACTTTGAAGCTTTAATCTTTATTTTGAACTTTGTTATTGCTTCATATCAGATATTGTTCCTCTATTTATTCACTATGTAATTTTTCTGCAATGCCGGCAGTTGTCTTCAAAGATACATTCATGTACTGAATCAAGAACGCATGAATTAAATGACCAACTGTTCACATATTCTTCTATTTGTTACTTGCTTCTGGCCATGTCATTCTACACTTGAAAGTAGTGCTAATATCATTCCATACTAGATGATATATAAGAAAATATTTTTGCTGGGTTTAGGAACAATTTTTATAACCAAGGGACTAAGATATTTATGTTTAGAGAGAGAGAGAGAGAGAGAGAGAGAGAGAGAGAGAGAGAGATTGAGAGAGAGAGAGAGAGTAATAATAGATACGCAACATTACTTGACCTTAGAGAGCATGCTGGTTGTATAGCAAAAAAAAAATCAAGTTTATTTACAATCACTATTGGGTTCTAGCTCTTATGAGGAAATTTTCAAAGAAAGAAATTCTATGGCTAGCAACAACAAGATTTGTCACCGCTTACTTGACCTTAGAGAGCATGCTGGATGCTAGACAATCTTTAGAGGTTATGTTCACATCTACACAGTGGTTGAGTTGTGCTTGGGAGAAGAAGGCTGAGGGAAAAGAGACTATAATGATTGTTTTAAATAACAAATTTTAACAAAGTATCTTATATGTCATTACAACCACTACACCTTTTGTTCAAGTTTTAAGAATGGTGGATGCTGAGAAGAAGCTTGAAATGGGTTTCATCTACAATACCATGGATGAAGCAAAAGAGATGATTGCCTCCAACTTAGGAGGCGAAGAGAGAAGTTTTATGGAAATTTGGAATATTATTGATGATAGGTGGGAGCTACAACTTCACTGATACTTGCATGCAGCTGGTTATTACCTAAACCCTCAGTATCAATATGCAGAGAACAAGTCTACAAACCCAGAAATAAAGTTGGGATTGTATCATTGCATGGATCGACTGATAAATGATGCAATTGAAAGATCAAATGTTGACATGCAATTGGTATCTTTTAGAAACAAAGAATGCTTTTTTGGATTACAACAAGCAAATGATATAATTGCCAAACGATCTCCAATTAATTTTATTTAATGTTTTAAACATTTATTTAAAAGTTATTTTTTTGCACTAATTAAACTCTCTTATATAAATATTAGATGAGTAATGAATTCAATTTAGTGATGAGACTCCAGAATTGCAGCGTTTTGCTGTGAAAATTTTGGGTTTGACATGCTCTTCATCTGGCTGTGAAAGAAATTGGAGTACCTACAACCAAGTACATACAAACAGGAGAAATCGCTTGTCGACATTGAGGATGAATTCAGTAATTCACTAGCGTACATTATGTATAATAGAAGACTCATAGATAGGAATTTGAAGAAAAAATGATTAATAGATGATGAAAATCCTTTGTTTTACGAGGATGTGACATCTAATGATGAGTGATTTGTAGATGATGAAGTTGAAGTGATGTCATATGAATTATAATATGAAGATTTAAATGTTGATTTCTTTGATGGTCTTAAAGCATCTACATCCACCACAACTCAAGAACAAATTAAAAAATGTATATAAATAATATATTTTCTTAGTCATTTATTAATGTATTACACTATTATTCATTTTGATATTATTCAACAATATTTAAGGAAGAGGAAGATAACTGATATTGAGGAAGGAGGAGCTGATTCAGAGACATTGGACTCTATAGGAGAGGAGGAAGGGGAGAGAGCAATTCATCATAATGATGAATCAAATGAAGACCCCCTTAGCGATGACAATGCTGATGACTTATGAGTTCTTATGTGATATGTCATTGCTATTTATTTTTGGAATTATATGTTAATGAGAAGAATACAGTGATTTGGGAAAGATGGAGTTTGAGTTGAACTATATTTCATGTTGTCTTAGAATTGGGATATTTTGATTTCATTTCATATATTGTGCATTTTTATGTTTTATATATTATTTACTCATTAGTATATAATAAATTTTTTATTTTATGTTTACGCAATCTTTTGATTTTGAGGCTTACGCCTCAAAACACCTTGAGGCTTACGCCTCGCCTCACGACCAAAAAACGCCTTAATACCCGATTATGCAATTTTAAACATTGGATATGCCTACATATAATATTACCATCGAAGTTGTGAGAATAATTGTAAAATGTCAGGGGCATCAATGATAGCACAAGTTAAAGGCAAGGTAAAGACTGTGATGATAAGATTGATAGTATTATTGTGTGGCATTGGCACACATACTGACATGCCAATTTTGAATCAACATTAACAATGGCACATTGTCGATAACACTTACAAGTTACAAGTATTGATGTTCTACTGTTAGTAGAAACTCTATTATGACAATAACAAAAGGGATGAGGACATCTGACCGTTAAAGTTTACCAAAGGAGGAGCAGAAGATCTAGGCCGCCGGACACCCTCACCCCGCACATCCTTGCCGCTGGCCCAAGGCCCCTAGCCGCCGGCCTCCTCCCCACTTTCCCTTCTCCTTTGGTTTCCTAATTAGGTTGGGACTAATTGGGATAATTTTGAAATTCAAATCCACTTAAATTTGAATTCAAAATCTTTCCTAATTTAGTTATTATATTTTAGGAAAGTGCATAATTTAAATCTAATTTTGAATTTTGAATTCATGAGGATTTAAATTAAATCTTTCCTAAATCCCAAAACCTAAATTAAGAAATCATAATTGCTCTCATTAATTGCCCCTTGCCCATGCATGCCACCGGCCCCCCTTGCCCTCCCTCATTAAATCCTTTTCAAATTACTTCCTAATCCCAACTTCCCACTTAGGAAATAATTTCTAATCCATAAATCCCTCCTTGGCCGAATTTTCCCAAAGCCCACAATTCCTAATTATTTCCTAAATTAAATATTTGAGTTAGGAAATAATTCCCCATCCCCACCCCTCTTGATACCGCCGGCCCCCTCTCTCTCTCCAATTTCCTCTCTCCCTCATCAACTCACCACCTTTACAAAAACCTGAAACTTATTTCAGATTTTCGCCTTCTCTCTCTTTCCTCTCCACTTGCAAGAGAAACTTCTCTTCGGCAACATTCAAAGAACACTATCAAGACGAAAAGAGATTTGTCCCTAACTCCTATGAATGACGGATCCAAAAACTGAATACGGCTTAACCTGGGGCGAGCACGGCTTCACTGATATTCTTCAATCAACCTTCTTCGACGTGAATACAAGGATCAATCACATCGTCGAAGACTACTTAGAGCGCATTCTGGACACCCTAGTGGAAGCAATCGATGAGCATTTCGAAGGCATTGAGTGGAAGATCTCCACTGCTCCTTGACGAGAGATTCTCTTATCCCCTTTCAATACCGTTCTTGAATCTAATTCTCTCTTGCATTTGATTGTAGTCACGAAGGACGACTCTTACTGCTCATGCTAAGCTTAGTAAAGTTAGAGTTTGAGTGCACCTTTATGATTACTAATTTTCATTGTTAGATTAGGGATTGTATTGATACTACTACTCGGCATAAAGTGATTTACTAATTTATTTTTAAAGTTTTACAACCCTCTGGATATGTGATTTAGCCTAAGCGGGTGTGACCCCTTTCTTGTTTTATTCGTTATTTTAAAATGCTAATGGTTATTTCACTGTTATTCTAATCAAGAGTTGTGCAAATTCCTAATTAATTGGTTGCATTCATACGTAGTCCTGCATCATCTGGTATCAGAGCATGGTATGCTCTTGCATATTTTAGCATTCCTGGTAGTTTATTTTTCTGCAAGTTATCTTTGCATTGTTGTCATTTAGAAGACTGCTAGGTTACTGCCCTATTAGTTTTTACTACCATTTTGCATCACATCATTGTGTTTTACTCATATTATTTGCTTCCTGTTACATACTAGTCTTGTTAGGTGTCCCGTAGTAATTTCCAACGGACTCGGAACAACTAGGAAGGACCTTAGACTTGTTGGTAGGTCAAATGAACAATATTAGCCAGCAACTTAAGGAAAACCAAGCGGATCTAGATGAGCTTCGTAGGAACACCACTAAGAGATTTGATACACTTGAGCGAGCTAGAGACCACCCTTCTCCCTACACTCCATCTAGACCACCTTCTATGTATGGGGATGAAACCTACCCAGATGAGAGGCAACTTCGTGCCAATCATCGAGCTCCGTACCACGGACATGACCCACGTCATGATCCAGGTTTGGATGAGAGGCAGCACCATGCCAATCATCGAGCACCTTACCACGGACATGACCCACGTCATGATCCATATGCACCACTTATGAAAAATATTAAGGTTGACGCTCCTACCTTTGATGGCACCCTCGATCCCTAGCTCTTCCTGGACTAGGTCAAAGGTATGGACGGTTTCTTTAAGTGGTATGACAATTCTGAGGCTAGGAAGGTCAGTTTTGTAGATATGAAGCTCACGGGTAGGGTGAGTCAGTTCTGGGCCAATTTAGAGAGTCTTAGGGAAGCTAGGAATGAGTACCCCATTGTTGATTGGTCGTCCATGAAGCGGGAACTCAAGCAAAAGTACTTGCCTCCGTCGTACTTCCCCTGACTATTGGAAAGGTGGAATAGGCTGACTCAAGGCAACAAACCAGTAAAGGAGTACATCGCCTCTTTTGATGACTTCTTGATTTGCTGCAAAGGGGAGACCTCTACCAACCCCGCGCAGATCTTGTCTATGTTTCGTACCGGGTTGCGAGAGGATCTTCGCAATGAGTTGTTTGCCCGGAACGTCACTACATTGGAGAATGCCTACAGCTTAGTGCTTGATCTAGAGGAGACCCGTTTACAGCACCCGAGTTCTTCACATGACTCTAGACCCTCCTACATATCAGCTGGTAGTTTCACCCCCACACACTTTTGCTACCCGACCCACTCCTGGGAACACGACCCGACCACCCACGGGTCCCACTGCACTTAGATCTGACTTCAGAAACAAACCTCCCACCCTGGATACCCCTCAGTCCAGTCCCGGGACCAAATGCTTTCGATGGCATGGGTATGGGCATATCACTTCTCAGTGCTCTAGTCCATATAAAGTCTTGATCATCAAAGAGATTACTGAGGACGATCTTGAGCCCAAGGTTGATCAGATCCACCAGGTCGAGGAAGAAGGTGAA